AAGTAAATCTGCAGTTATTTGAATGCGCTAAGATTTCAAAAATTTATTGATGTGCATACCTTGCTTTTATTGACTTTTGTGGTTAAGGCTGCGTAAAGATTAAATGAGTCACAATTTATTTATTATGGTAAAGAATTAGTTATTTTAGGCCTTTTACATAAATCAAATGAATTCAATATAATTTATTCAAAATTATCACATTCTGAGTTTCAGTTTACTGAAATGAATAACTAAGATAGCCACATTATAGTTGTAGTTGATATAATAATCCCAAGTTCATAATTTTATATCTATTAAAGTTGTTTGGTTTTTTAATTCGGATGAACTCGGTCAATCTTATCAAAGTACCACTTTGTAAATGCCAGTAGAAGCTATTTTAGTTTCCAAAACTTTTTCAAATACTGTTTGTTAGAAGTAGATCCATACGAATTTCCTGTTAGTTTTATTTTTGCATTTTAAAACAGCTAACTGCATTACCGTAGATCTTAGACAGTTTTTTCTGGACTCAGTAGCTAAGCGAATAACGTGATAACATTTGAAAAGAATGGAACTTGGTTCAAGTCTCAGGATGAACATCGACTATGTTATACAGATACATCCAGCTGACGAGTCCCTAATAAAACGAGACATGCAGCCTCGATTCCGCGGCTAGTCACTATCCACTTCTGCGAATAAATGGGTTTAGTTTGAAATTCTTATCCGGACGTATTATAAAGCAGGGACTATTTTTTTGGTTTTCGTCGATTAATTTCAAACCAACTCTAACAAATTTTGTTCAATAACTATTAACTGTGTGAATTCCTACCTCTACTTTTTTTCAGTTTATTATTTTAATTCAATATAGTCATGCATATGCGAAATCAATTTTACGAGTACGGCTGAAAGTATGTGTGCCTTTTTTGTTTGCGGATTAAGTTTACATTATTTAGTGGTCGTTGAAAAACTCACTGTTCCTTTTTTAATCTGCCACTAATCAGACAACCATGCTTGATTGATTAATTGATTCATGAACAAGTAAACTGAATGAACATAATGGCCTAAAAATTGATTCCTACAAATTAACTGACAGCTACTTTTGATTTATAATGTAAAACTTAATTATTCCACTGGTATATAATATCCCTTTCGTTTGTTTTTATAAAAAAAAGTGCAGTCAAAACAACTAGTATACTATGATTTGAAAAAGGAACACTTATTTGCGCAAATAATGACTTCATTAAAAACAACCCTTATTGGAAACATTAAAAAAAATCTTTGATATAAAATTATAGGGCGGTAAGCCAATATGTTATTATAATTATCAGCTCAGAACATTCAATTCTAAAATGAAAACTTCTATCCTTTAAACTATAAACAAAAGTCATTTTTCAAATAAATATATTTGGTGCAGATGATATACACAGAAAAATGAAAATTGCGTAGCATTTTCTTGAAGAAATATAAACAGATAAATTAAATATATTCTCAGTGTTGAGGCACTAGAAACGTTTTGAGATGGTGGAGAAAATTTGTAGTTCAGGTGGATGATTGTGGTGTTGTTTCGTTCTCTGAGCTGGATCTTTCGGTTGTGGAGCTTTCATTGTTCTTCTGAACAACATAATCAGCACAAACTTCAGATAGAAGTGAGGCATTCCAATTTCTCCACATTTGACCTGTAGCTTGTTCTGCTAACCTCGATCTTGATTGGTTGCTGTTGACTTTTGACCTGTCGTTGTTTGCACCTTTGTTTTGATTGTATCCCCCATTCGATCCGTTTCTTGATCCTATGTCACCTATGATTTTTCTGATTGGTTGATAAATTGGGTTAATGTCGATCTGTTTGTTGAAAAAACAATGAAAGCTCCACAACCAAAACATCCAGCTCAGAGAACGAAACACCGCCACAACCAGAAAAGTTACTCGAATGTAGAAATTTTGTCTGAATTTAAGCTTTTAATGCTCACGACAAGTGAATCTTCATATATTTATTCGAAAACTTTAATCAACTGTTGCATTCTGTTGAGAATCCGTAGGAACATAATAAAATATAGCAATGAAATGATAATACCAAAAAAATTCATTTCTGTCTTTTGTCAATTTGTTACATAAAAACTAAAAAGCTTGTTGAATAATATCAGTAAAAGCGACATTAACAAATTCAAATTAGAATGAATATATACTGTAATAGTATGATTACTGATGAGTAAAATAAGTATCTATTTGTTAGAAGGTTGAAGAAGTAGTTTGACCATCAGACACTGCACTAGTAACAAGGGAATTAATTCATATTCATGCATAAAGAAATTTAAGTCAATCAACGGAAAGTATTAATGTTTTCACATACTTCAATTATAATAAACCAAAACCTTTAGCTTACTAGTCAGTTAATGTCATGAACATATACCGAAATTGTTACAAATTACTTTAGAATGTTTGAGGTGTGTTTTTATTACATAGCTGCATAAATGTTCTATAAAGCCGTAAACAGTTCAACTCATATTTATAAAAGTTGTGTCTGTTTTTGTTATATATATATATATATATATATATATATATATATATATATATATATATATATATATATATCTTTTCTGGACATTTTCGTTCTCGGATCTAGGTAGTTTGACAGTAATGCTTTAATTGTATTTGTAGACAGCATCATATTTTAACATCCTACCGCTGAATTACACAGCTTGTTTATCATTCTAAAATCAATACTCATATATTTGAATGCCTGAAAATTACTCTTCAAAGTTTTATCATTAGCTACTAACTAAACCAAAACCATATGAAAGGATAATATAAATTGATTCAGTCAATCAAGCAGCTTAAATGTATGTGAACTGAAAAAAGGACAATTTCGAAAAGTTAATATTAAATCTTGATTTCCTTTCATAGTTATACATACATACATATGAAAGTTTTGAAATAAACTTACTTATTTACCATATAATTATTACTTGAAATAAGCAAATCCATACTCAACAAAACAACTTAAAACGAAAGTGAGGATGATCTAACAGTGAAGAAAATTCAAAACAATCGAATGCATGAGTGTACTAAAAAAAGACATTCAGTCGTTCTTATAGTGATTCCAGATAAATTTTAACAACTATTTAAAATGTGATTAGTTCGTTAAACATTTTGTCATTATCGAGCGAGATATATGATCGCTAACTGCTACTTTTTTGTATGAAGACAAACTAAGCCCACAGTTGTGTTCAGTCAATTTTGACGAAAGTCACAGATAACACAACAACGAGAAACTGGAATCACAGTGGTTGGTTTTTATTTCAACCATTCATACGAGTGGTGTTTTAGAGTTTAGGAAATAAATTTACTCAAATAAGGTATCGAAGTCTGATTTACTTCGACATATGCAAATAAATTCTTGTTTATTTTTATGATGTCTGCCCACTAACTGATGACTATGCTAAGTTGAATTCTTATTTTAATTCCTTTGAAATACAGTCTCATATATTTTTTTCTGGGTAAAAACAAACATCTAAACGAGTTGCATTGTATAGTAAAATTATTCATGTACACATTACCTTTCTTTTCAAAGGCATCTATACCAATGCCTATTATCAAACACACACTATCCACATTCGACTAAAATGAACTGGTTAATCATTGATTATGTGAACTAAACAGTTATCAATTTAATGATGAAGTCATTTTTACCTTGGACTTTTCCATTCTATCAACCCGATTTGATAAATGCTATTTTAGTTTTTGATGAAGATCAGTTGGAAAAACAAACGGATGTTTGGAATTTTTATTTTGTTCTTTTCTTAAATAAGCTCATTACTTATTCAACATCATGAAACGTATAACACGATAAAAAGTGCACTAACTGCCTATAACATTCTTCCTATCTAAAGTGTTCATTCAGTGCATTTCTTAAAAAATTCATTATCACCATTTTTTGCGAAATTGTAGTTAAAGTAACTTTCACGGCAGACTGTAGAATATTTTTCGGAACAGGCATCTAATTGTTCATAAATCGCTATTATTTATCACTTCTCTGACTAGATTATATGTGATTATAGCTTCATATCACTTTGTTTTACATACGCTATTGTAACGAGTATTCAATCTGGTAATAAAACAAAACAGGTTAAAGATTCGAACTGATTTGTGTATTGTACATCAGCTCAATTATTTCATGTGCTCCCTTAATCGTTCAGTTCGTTGGCACCTTTTTCTACTCGCATTTCCTTCTGTTTTGTACGTTCAAATAATTATAAGTTTTGGACAGCTTTCTTTATTTTTAACTTTACTTTCTGGATAAACAAACTAACTGTTGTAGTTGTCTTATGTTGTTATTACCAGCAATATGTATTCATGGATTCAAATAACCACTTACAAATTTACACTCGATCCAGATTATAAGAAGCCATGAAACGATTCGATAAATCACCAGATGAATTTTATGCGACGTAATGTGTTAATATTAACATAATAAAAATGGATACTAATAAGTTAACTTAGTTCCCAGTTATTAGAAGTCCTCTGATTGGTAATGCAAAATTAGTTCTGAAAACTTTTGTTTTTTTGTAAGGGGTAACAATGAAGAATTTTCATTTGAAATTTTTTTCATACTCAATCGCATAACTAATGCACACATGAATAAAAATTTAAACGTTTGGAATACATTCAAATAAGCTAACTTTGTTATGCCTTTATTTTATTCATTGTAATTTCAAAAACTCGACTACCAACAATGTCAATAGTAATTGAAACAAAACAAACTTATCAATGCACAACAATGAAACAGGAACTTGGATATTTAATGAAGACTATGCTTATTTTAGAAAAATTTCTATAAATTAAAATGTCTATCATATTACTGCAACATATCCATGTACTATTTACTTATTCTTTCATAAATTCACATCCCTTGCTAACAATAAACCCTGTCCATGTATCTGCATGTGAATGTACTTTTTTAATGCAGAAATATTTTCTTTTATACTATTTAAATATCTTATGCGTTATTATATTTCTGTCCTTATTAGAATAGAGTACACTCAGAGTTTGGATATTATTTTAATGATGGGAAAAGAAAAATTGGTAAGTTAATGCGTTGTGAATTTTTATTAAAATATAAAAATTTAGTTTAAATGGTATTTTCTGGTTAGCATATTTTAGCAAGATTGTATTTATGGAATAGAGTTGTTAACCCTATGCTTAACCCTCTTCCTTTATCCGGGATTGGAACAGGCAGTAATCCTAGAAGAGTTGCAGGTAGAGTTAAATAACAATTTTAGTGAATGATATTCCAAGTTTCTTATACATATTTTGTTAGTAAGCTTCAAAGAGATTTTTCATAAACTTTAGTTTAACGTCTATGCAAAGTAGTCAAATGTTTATAAATTTAAGTGAAATCCTCATCAACTAGTATGTGTCAAGATTATTGTCAGATATCGTCGGTAAAATAAATATATTTCAAAATTAATTGTTATACTATACGATCCTCAGATTTTAAAGCATACAGATTACAAAAACTTTGCCGAAACATGTAAAATGGAATTTCATGACCATAGCTTCACAAATAAATTGATGCATATTTTCACAGTTGTCAGCATTGAATTATCAGAGGAAACTGAACTAGATTAGTTGCAAATTCTAGAGAAGTTAACAATCAATGAAACTTAAGATTTTAGTGTCGCTACTGTGCTAAACTTAATGGCTTTTGAAGTAATGGAATCGAATCAATATAACTATTCATACAAACTGTTAATATCATTTGTACTAATTCAAAAGATTTCAATAGGTGATTTTCAGTCATTTATATCGTTGCCAAATTTTACACTGAACTATTTTACCAACTTGGTTTTATGCTCATAACATTCTGTGAATTAAGCTAAAGCATGTTCTTAGATTCATACACTGAAAATATATTGCATGAACAGCTTTGTGCATTATTTCATATCTAATGACCAATTACGTTTATTTCATTGGCACAATTTCGATGGTCCATATGTTTAACCTATGAGAGAGCGAACTTGTTAAGATATAGTCATCTTTTATCAGAGACCAAGAAATGTTACGACAATTATTATATAAGATGAATTTATAGAGGTTTCTAGTAACTCATTTTAAAACAGATACTGATCATGTGCTTCATGGAGATTAGTATTGAGATGAACTACCGAAACCATAATGGATAAGTGTGACCACTGGAGTCAATCATGTCAGAAATATGACAGTAGATCTACACAGATATTGTATTAACATTATGCTTTACCTGCAAAATTATTTACTGCTGAAAAATGTGGGTTGTTATTCACATATGATACATTAGATTGGGATTCGGACTCGCTGCAAAGCGTTATTGTGATCTTAAAGGATCGAGAATTCTCTGCCAAGTTCTAAAATTTTCACTGTATCGGGCATAGGAAGTACTAGAATAACTGCAACTAATCTCTTAATAGAGCCGCAATTAATTTTTTTAATCTACCCGTTGAATAGTTACTAATGATATGTTCCCCATTACTTTCTGCTGAATAAATTTCAGAGCAAGAAAGACTGGCTAAACATAAAGTTCTCTTTTCGATCAACTCATTTTCACAGCTGTGCGATCGCAACTATACACTATTGTTCACATAGTGAACATTAAAGTACTAGTGATAGTAAAAGTTTTTCTAGTGAGTCAAATTAGACTAAGGCATAAAACGTAATTTGATTAAGGGGATTAATGATGTGGTTGAGAGCTTCATTATTCACTTAGGAGATTGATAAAGAAATTTTAGTCAGAAATGAAGGGCTCAGAGTGATAAGTCGTTGAGACTGAGATGAACTGTAATCATAAAGATAGTAAAAACAGAAACATTTCAGTTGGAGGTAAAAGATTTGTAAAGAAAAAGATAGAAGGGAAGCAGATCAGTGTCAGAGAAGAAAAACACAATATTTTTACGAGAGATTGAAATCAAAGTAAAAGCAGAGGCTGTTCAAGATTTTTCTGTACACATAATTCTGATTTTTCAAGGTGAATAGCAAGTGCGTCGGCAATGCCAAGAAGATGGAAGCCAACTACTATTGACAGCTTTCTACTTACATTATAGATGACTTCTAACCCAGAATCAGTTTAAATTGAATATCTATGTTGATAAGGTCTTCTACTGTTGAGCAGTTCTTGCCTCTTTCTATTTCTATCGAAAAAACCTGCATTGGATGACCTATATTCCTAGCTACACATGAACAGATGAATTGGGAAACACACACAGGATGAGTTATATGCGATAATTTATTGGTTAAATTATTGTTGAACGTTGATCGACGCCAGTAAACTAGTTGCAAAGTTGCCGTGAAGAACATTTTGTCAAGCGATTCAGACATACTGAAGAGGCAAATTTCTGACCTGCCAAAATGAATGTTCTTCGCAGAAACTTTGCAATAATTTAACGCATAAATTGTCATATGACCAATTCTATGTATGTTTAGCAATCTTTAAAAATAAATGTTTTTCATTAACTATGTTGCATTAAATTTTGGATGCAAAAGAATAAAATCATTGAATGATTATTGATTTTCTTGCGTATCTTATTTTCTTTTCAAGATTATGTATTGGTCTGGGATGAACCAGTCCATGAAAATATAATCAATAAAGTGAAAAAAGTCAATATTATTTATCGAAAGACATTTGAAGAGAATTTACAAGCAATCGGAGTAGAAATTGAGAAAGTAAGTCTGGTTGGTAGTGGTATTTCAAATTAATATTTGATTTTTTCACTGTCAACTAAGTTGTATTTGATTTGTGTGCGTCTGATTTGACGATATAAAAACATTGAGTCGAATTTCCTAACTTCATATAAGAAATAAGTTATTTACCCTAAAATATAATAATTAAGGGAAATAATATTAAATTTACGACCTACTTACAAATTATACAAAGAATTTTTTCTTCAATTAACGGTCGCTCACACAATTAAAGTTGATTTTCATGGATAAGGTCATGAAACTGATTAAATTTTATTGATACTTCAATCAATAAATAGCTATCATGTTTAATTCTTGTTTTAAAGTTAGCCTTCCTTATGTGGCTTCAAATAAAGATTACCGTTTACTCATAAATAATTCTGTTTTAAGTAGTGAACAATAATTCTTTGGAATTGTTGAATTTCCTTCCACAATTTAGCCCTTAAGAATTTGTCTAAGTTTCCGCCAGGTTAGTTGTTTACTAATCAGTTTGTTTAATAAAAAGAGATGACACTCCAGCCAAAAATAATGTGAACCTTCAACATTTTCTTTCAAAAAAGTGAATGACATCATCTTCATCATCATCCGCAGTTGTAAAATGTTCATTTGTCCATTGAATATTGCAGTAATCGCCGTTGACAGCGAGCTCTAGTAGAAATGCAGACACTAATTTAGGTTATATGGAATGTATCACTGACATATATTTTCAGAAGTATGTTTACAGATTGCAAGTAAACGATGAAAATTATGATCAGTAGACCCCTTTAGATCAAACAATATTATTTTTCGTGATCATGCAAATGAAATTGACTGGAAAGTGTCATCGCTTAATCGACAGAAATTAGCCACCACTGTTATGACTATGAAGACAGTTTCCAAATGAGTATTTGACACGATAGAGTGCACAAACGAATTTAGTCCCTTGAAATAGAAAACTTCGCATATATAATACCGAGCGAATCATTTATCTAAAATCAATCATCTAAATGAAACAAAATAAAAAAACATATAAGAATAGTGGTTCCGATGCTACGGAAATAGTCAGTTCGAGTTATGACAGTCAGCATTTTAGATTCAAGTTGATAAGGTCTTCCGGAAACACTGAATATTGCCCTGCAATGCCAAGAGTAACACCACAAAAATCATAAATATTGAAAAATAGGTTTTTATATAATTTGAAATAGTTCAAGCGACAGCTTTGAACAGTTGTATTTGAAGCTCGAAATTTCGATAAATTTATAAGTTTTTATATAATGTTTAAGAAAGAATGCTAAAAAACAGGGCGTAGATCAAATATCGTTAGCTTTAAATTTTTCCTGTCAAACCTGCTATACATATATATATATCACTATCCGGTTATTTATTGACTTTAACTATTGCTAAAATAAATCCTATTCACTCGTTATACTTAGGGTTGCATCTGGTAGAAAAAACAAAACAAAATAAATGTCCCATTAAAGTTAAAACGTGAGAAACTTTAGCATAATATATTTCTGCAGAAATCTCATTTTCTAGAACTGCCATTCCAATTGTTTGTCTAGTTAATTTCGCATGACAAATGTAACTGTGTTTAAAGATATTTTATTTTCACTTATTGGCGTGTTCCGTTTTACAGTCAGTTCCTATTGTGGAGAAAATTTGTTGCTCATGTGGATGAGTATGGCGGGGCTTGTCTTAGTTCTTTCACCGTTCTTCTGAGCTGCGTTATGAGTACAAACTTCAGGTAGAAATGAATTACTCAAATTTCTCTACATATGACTTGTAGTTACTCCTGTTCACCTAGATCTGACTCTCAATCCTATGTCTATGTCTTTTCTGATTGGCTGGTGGATTGGGTTGATTTTATTATGTTTATCGATTGCTGAACTCTCTAATGTTCATTGTATTCACTTTAGCTAAGATTTCAAAATATTCCCAGTAGAACGTATGTCCATCGTTGGCGAGTGATATAATGGAAGATATGTCATGGCTAATAACTGCTAGATGGTGTTCACACATTTGAATCTAAAAGGGACGTCTACTTTGTCTGATGTAGTGATTATCGCAGTCTAAACAGTTTATTTTGTACATGATGTTCGGTCTTTCTTCTTTTGTCACTATGTCCTTCGGTTTAGGTAGAAGTGATTTCAAACTATCTTGTTGGTTGTTATGCTAAACCCATTCCAAACGGTTTCAGTAATCTCGCTGCAATTTCTGATATCTTTTGTACGCTGTCGGTTGCTGTACATAATTTCACACGACAGAATTTTCTGAAACTTGGCACTCAGATAAATCAGCAATCAATAAACACACCGTAATCGGTCCAATTTATCAGCCTATTGCAAAATGAAGAGGCATATAATGACAGGTTAAAAGTCAATTAGAATCAATGGAAATTCAGGCCGACAGGACAAGCTACGAGTCACATATACAGAAATCCGAATATTTCACTCCTACATGAAGTTTGTGCTGATGATGTTCTTATCGTACAAATAGTACAGTACTTTTGACATTATATCTGAGTTTATGACGTTTTTTGGTTTAGGAGACTCTTGTAAATAATGTAAATATTAGCTGACCAATAAATATCAGTAAACTTTAAAATATCTTATTATTGAATAGATATCTAGTATTTCGAAATAACAAGTAATCTGACAGCAAAAAGCCCTGCTTTTCACTACATTATTATTTATTTGTTAAGTTTAAAAAACCTGAGCATTTTTCTTCTCAATAACAGGACAATTTAATCAAATAGAATATAGAGAAGCATGTGAGATTATGATTTTTGATATTGAAGGCCTAAAAACCGGAAGTTTTGAATATTTAATCCTAATGGACTGGATTTAAAATACGTAACATAATAAAGATTAACAGCATAAATCCCTATTCTGGTAACCATTAAAGGTGTAGATCAACTGCAAAAGCCTATAGTAATATAGTCATCTAGTTATTCTCACTTTTCACAAAATAGTGCATTCTGAAATCACCTAATCTTACTGACGTGTGCTCAATAGGTTTAAAATAAAAGCATAGTGTCAGAGTGTATTGCAGTTAATCTACTCTATAACGGTATAAACGTCTGAAAAATTACACGAGAATATGAGGCTGTCAGATGGATACCTCTTCCAATATCACTTGTAGAACAGTCAAAAAACTTAGTGACAGATTCGCTTCCTGAATGTTAGGAATATTTTAAGATACTGCCTAGATGATTTCCAAAATACGTTTTGAAAAAAATTTGTTATAGAGAAAAATAAATCACTTTATACGAAACTTAACAATGGTCACGTTTAACTGCTGCATGATTTTTATACCAGACAAATAATTCAAGCATTGACATTGGTTCGCCCTAGAAAACTAAGATTTAGTGAAGTGCGTAACATTAATCCGTTATTTTGATTACTGAACACACGATCAACTTACTCAATGCGGTTTGGACTTCAACTAATCAATATTGGTTGGCACTTGGGAAATGATCATAACATTTGGGTCAATAATTTAAATAGTCTTTAGTATCTTAATAACCTAATAGTTAAGATTTTGATTGAGTCAATAATAAACAAAATTTTTAATGTTTAGTTTACGGATTCATTTGTTAAATATACAAAAGCCTAAAGTGATAATAACTTACTTTACCATAAATCTATGACCATACATATTTTTGACAAAATGTATTTCAGTGTAAAAGATACATTACAAATCTTTAGTAAAAAAATTCCTTGTATTCAGCTGACAGAGAATTTAAATATTATTAATGTGGCTGACAAACTGTTGCGAAATACCTTTAATGTTATACTCTTCTGTACCTGTTACTGTATTATGTGATTAATATGTTATTGCGAACGAATGAAATGAACTTGTGGCATGATAATCTTTGTAAGAAATCTAATACCTCCATCGATAGTTAACAAATGAACCTAATGTAAAAAGTGCCCGAAGAACAATTGTATTGTGTTAAGACAATACACAAATAAACATTATTAGATAATTATAAAGTAAACCATCACATCGCCAACAAAAAGAAAACCTTACTAATATGTCAAATCTTCGCTCTGCATTTCAGAGCATTGTAACTTGATAGTTAGAAGAACTAGAACTCGCGTTATTACAGCCATCCCTTTTCTGATCTCTTTAAATGTGTAAAATGACACTTTGTTTGGTTTTTAGAAAATGTCTAATCTCTGGTAAGCTATTCGCCAAGCTAATTTTAGGTTTTTGAGCCAAATAAGGTGAAATTTCAATCATATTCCTAAAATACAGGAGAAGTTTTCACACTTTGAGAATAATATGAATCCAAAGTACTACGAATGAGTTAGGTTGATAAAACTCATTTTTATTCAAGAATACAGTAAAATTGATGCAAGATATTCTATTCGTATATTCATGACCTAATCAAAAACAAAAATTGTTTGAGCGAACAAATCTTTTCATTAATGTTCTAATAAACATCCAAAGTTATAAGTCCATAATTTTGTGTTGTTTTATAAGCTAAAATAAGGCATGAATTATTGAATTAAGCAGTTACATGCTAATAATGGTGAAATTTTACATCTGTTACGCCGCAAACTATTGAAGATAGTGCCGTTGGTTTATTAGAATTGTCATTTTGTAACTTCAGCCTTTGGTTGGTCTGTGTTTAGCCTGGAGGTATCTTGTGTGTTCGGGGTGTGTGTGGAGCATCGTATAAGATTATCTGGAAGAAGAAAGAACAAGAAAAAAAGATGAGCCGACGACTCAGTAAGCACATGAAATGCACTTACATGCAATAGAGGAATAAATAAACAGCAACCAGAAATAAAACCAGCGTGAGGTCAAGACAAATTGATGAACGAAACTAGCAATTGATAGAGTAAGGTTTCGAATGGGTTAATAATCTGTAATCAGGTTTCAAGTGTCAATCTTTCAAATATTATGTTTTTGAATAATCGATGGGGATTTTCAAACTGCATTGTTAAAACATTTTTGTCATGGTCAAAAATGTTTAAGTATTTTCCGTTTAACATGAGTATTAACACGATTTGAATTCAACGGACTGTGTAACCCTAATATTTTTGTTACCCTAACCTATCCTTTTAACATAATTTTTAAAATTGATCACAGTGAAATTTACTAGTGAATAATTAAGATAAGAAAAGTGAATTTCACATAATCCTTTGAATCAGGTAAAGTTGTTTGGTGAATATGGGATAAAATTAACATTCCGCTCATGTTCCACTTTGATCCAACTCCTACTAATATATAATGGGTCTTTCGAATTGAACACATGATAAGTTGAAACTATAAACTGTCGACTATTTTAATTGTTAAAAGATAACACGTCAGTGCAATTAGTTGGAGGTTAAGCTTGAAAAACGTACAATCTAAGCTGTAGATCTGGGAAGGCTGTAACATTCTGATGGTGGTTGTATACTAAGTATTATTAGCATTCAATAATAATACAATGTAAACAATAGAGAAGTTCAATCAAACGGATTTGTAGATATTATAATTCATTCATATTCTTATTGGAGAATCAATCATAAGACACTAAATACATGCACTTTTTTATTGATCTTATCAAAGTATCTTCTTTAAATTATCTTCAGTGACAGTAATAGGTTTTTTTTGAGATATTTAAGAATGAATTGACGACCTCATTGCTTCTATAAATAAGTTCAGATCGTTTTAAATGGCTATTAAAACATGATCCATATATCAGTGTTAGAGAATGATTCATCATTAATCTAATTTCATCTACTTATTAGCTTAGTAAGTAACTTCTGTCCACTTAATGCTATGAAGGACGAAGTAATTTTTAAAATCTTCACATTTTAAGTTTAATAAGTAACATATTAAACATATACTGTCTGAAGCTATTGACAAAAACCAACCTAAAATCATTCTTTTTAATAAATAATCGTAATCTGTCTTCTGATCCGTTCTGTTACAATAAATCCAGTTACCTCCCTTACTCTTTTAGGAGGATGTCAAAACTGAAAGCTTGATAACTCATTATTTGAAGCTGCATATTCCCTGGGACCTGATGTGTCATCATGCTGAGTGCTTAAACCTACGAGCTCCCCTTGAAGTATGTAGAATGTTTGTATTTTGATCAGATAATAGGTATTTTGTTTATTATAATGCCCTAAAAATATTCTTAATTAGGACTTTTAGCTTTATTATACTAGTACATAATTCGTTTGACCTACACTAAATTTATGACATACTAACCAAATTAAAATAGTTCTGATTCTTCTCTCAATACGCGCACGTTATTTCGATCCTACGCTTTAATTTATATATTATTCCTCATCTTACCTAAATAATCGGAATGTTCGAGGTTACAAGTACAAACCGGTACCATTATTATTATTACTCGATGAAAATCTCAGTTCCAACTGGGTGTCTAAATGTAGTTGATGTGAGACTTGAAAATCTTTGCCCAGGAGTTTTATGAAATCTGATTATTAAAGTGAAGACGTTACTCAATCTTAAATAAATCAAATGTTCACTAGACACAAGTTTTCAATTGTCCTCTAATTAATGCCCATGTACTTAGAAGACAAATGCAACGCTAGATGTCACAATAAGTTTTTCTACGCTTTACGAATTGCCATGTAAGTTAAAAAATATATATATGTATATCAGGTGCTACTGAAAATTTTTATTCGTTACTACGCATCTACATAATAACAGTAGAAATTATTATGTTTCAAATTCAATGAAATGCATAAGATGAATTCTAAACACAAAAGTTCTGAATCAGATTATTCATACCATACTTATTATTTTTACCAGGTATCTTATGATATTTGTAATGCACATAACAAAAAGATGATGAATAATTAACAAAATTTATTTCTAAAAACAGAAAACCAGTGAAAAGCCGAGAAATATGATTTTAGTAATTATGAAAAATAGTTGTGTAATATACACTGTTTACTTCAACAATAGAGTTGAAGATAGGTGACATTTTTGAATGTATAAATCTTAATGTTTCTGGCAAAAATGTTCGTCTTTTGAGCTCCATAGACACTGAAGCTCTCTTCGTCATCCAGAAACATCAATTGTTGATAAACAACGTTTGATTTGCATAGTTTCGAAAAATTGGGGTTTAAATTCCTCATTGAGTAAAAATTAAGACTTTAATATAATTCTTACTGAAGGCATACTTCTATCCGGTCAAACCAAAAAAAAGTTTATTGAAGTCTATTTAGAACTCAAGTCTTTTGCTCACTCAATCAAATACGATACTTGTTAATGAGTTATGCAAGATGCCCAACATAACTGTACAATCAAGATTTTCGTGGTTAACAACCAGACTATTGATACTTTGATGAGGTGATCCTTTCTTCATAAAGTTTTCTTTTAAATATTGTTTGAGTTTATGATTAAAACACTAAAAATATTTAGGTTCAAGACACTAAAATGAAGATTTGGTCAGAGATTTTTTTGAAAACAATCGGGATTCCATCCATAATGTCGCAAGAAGTTCCGAACCCTCCTCCTACTTATTATACTTGTCCATTTAAGAAAAGCAAGTTAGACAGGTAAGAAAATATCCGATTTTAACAGTTACTTATCTTGTGTATTTGCTTTTATTCGTTTATTGAAAGTTAGTTGGCTGCAACTTGTCTGACAGTCAGAAGTTGATAAAAAAACATTAGTTAGCGAAATACACAAATATTCCTAATAGACTGGTAAATAATTACTTACTTACTTATTTACTTATGCCTGTTACTCCCAATAGAGCATAGGCCACTGACCAGCATTCTCCAGCCTACTCTCTATCCTAAGCCTTCCTTTCTAGTTCTGTCCATCTGTTCTTCATTCTTCTCATGTCTGTCTCCGTTTCTCGGCCTGCTGTGTTTTTTGGCGATCCTCTTTTCCTTTGACCTTGAGGGTTTCAAGTGAGTTATCTAGAATTATAACCAAACATTTGATAAGTAATTCTTCACCCTCGAATTTATTCAAAACACTACTCAAATAGTTAGGACTATAAAAAAAATAACTGGAGAATGAAATTGATACGTTTCCCTCTATCAAGTTTAGAGATACATTTTTAAACTCATCATCTTATCACACAAAATATATATGATAACAAACTCTCGCTATTATGTTCCTTCATACGCGACCTGTATTTGTCAGATTGAAAATGAAGAATAAGCAATCGAACTAGATCACTGTGAGACGAGAAAACCAAAATTAATAAAACTAAACCACACAAAAGAGTATGACTGAAAAGACATGTGCGAAAAAAGAAATGGATTATTCCAAGTTTTTGCCTCACGGCTCGAATTCACTTTCGCTTCTCAAAATCTATCTAGTTAGTAGATAATCAGCTGTTTGAAACTTTGTGATGACATCTCATCTTCCATACTGAGGATTCCAAATTATAAAATGTCACTGTTCGTCATAAAGCTTTTTAAGAAATATTTTAAAAACTTACAAAGTGCGTCATTGATTACAAATCACAGTACAGTTTTTATAAACTAGTATGACAATTACTTCAACGGAAAGTCGAATCGGAAGAAATAAGCCAGCCATCTTAATCACGTTATATTTAATAAAAACAATTAATTAGGTTTATGCAGTTATCATTATCACCTTGCTGAATTTCTAGTCAATAAAATAGTCACCGCCTAAAACAGTTATGAAATAAATTAAGAAAGTATGGGTCAACTGTCAGTTTACAACCATATATTAAGTTATCATATATACTATTACTAAAAACTTGTTCTGGTCAGGAATAAAGAGAGATTAATAGAAGATTTAATTAATGACCAATGAGACCTCAGGATTTGTGCTGGTAAATATACTTGTCATGCAATAAGTCTATGACTGTACAAAGTATCAATTTAAACCAACTACGTTACTGACGGCATGTAAGCAACTACGTAGACTGTTTTTTAAAAAAAAAACTGTGGCTTAACTAATCTAACGAATAAGTTGATATTTTTTATCCTTTAAATCAAATGAGAATTTAAAAACGATTCAAAGCTTCAATAGACATTTTCAGCCATCATTACAAATTGTCCATTTCCTTTCAAGACAGCTAGAAAGTATCACATAAAAAATCAATAGTTTTAGAGGTTAATTTCCTCTGAAAATTAATGATTAAAGTTTCGAAATTTTTCATTTTTTTACTATTAACAAATATCCTTCATTGACCATTTAAATGATTAAAATAAATATTCCACATATAGATTTTAATGCTGAATCTTTCAGCTTGTCTATAAATTGTTTATGACTACTGTTTCGGTTGATGATGGAAAATTTTAAAAATTTTACAAATAAATGTTCGGTTTATTCGTTTTTTGAATATGTTATTATTTGTCGAACTGATTACAATCAATAAGCCTTGGAAAATCTATGGGATCATGTTGTAATGTATGATGTATGATATGAATTTGTTTTATAAAATCTTCCACATCTTCATTAGTGATTCTTCTTTGTAAACTCATTCACTGAGGTACAGATTTTTGCAGTCAGACTTGATTTACACTTTCCTCATAAAATACGGTGATACTCCACGACTTACAGAACCACTGTTTAGATAGAGAGTATCAAATACAAGAAATGAGAATGATCCTTAAAATCTACATGACTGTTATGGCTTATTGCAGCAGCCAAGTGTATTATACTAAGTCAATAAAATCAATTACATTTAAAATCTGTTACTTAAATATAAATTGCATCGCTGTTTCAGATTTCTTGGACATGACGATCCAGATTCATATTTCACTTCTACACAAAGACATCAAGTAGCATATGATATTTTAGCTACCCAGGCATATGGAAGTCGTGAAAAAGCACAAGTTGGAATTGATCGTCTTATACAAGAAGAAGTTTATAGTGCTGCATATGCGATTCATGAGGTAATCGGGTGATAAAATATTGATTTTTTTTAAGGATTGCTGTTAGTTCAGATGCTTTTATGAATTGAGTTACATCGTTTACAGGCTTAGAGATAAATCAGTCGAGATTTTTAAAAATCTCCACAGTCAGGACTACACAAGACATGAAAAATATTCATAGACACATATTCAGCAAACAGTGGTGGACACTCAAACAAAGTATTTAGTAATACTTACCACTCCAAATTTAACCTTTCTTCTGATTACAAATATAAGGTTTTCTAGTACTTAAAAACCTTATATATTCACCAGAACGGGAAAAAAAAGAGTTTGTCGTGATCACTCTTTAATTGTTGATTCGTAACCAACTCTAGTTACTTTATAAATTTATTTGTACATCACAGAATAATTTACTGTATAGTGTTGTACTAATAATGAAAAAAGGTTTACTTATGAACATTGACAGTGTTAGTTGCCATTATTGACTAAACTATGACTAATTTGGTGAAATGGAACCAAAAGATGTATCATAGGATTCTATTTTAATGTATTCCAACCCCAATCTATATCAGAATGATTTCCAATATTGATTTTTGAGACTATTTGATCAAATTAAAAACGAAGCTAAATTAATTAAATGAACTAATAAAATTTTCTGGCAAGTAATTACCTGAATGATGCGAACACATGGAAATAATATATATTCTTCACAAAGTATCCCAGTTTTTCTGAACCTTACAAATATTAAAGGACAACACTTATTTTGTATATTAAAGATTCTCGTTGTATAAATGAGAACAACACATAAGCGAACTATATTCTTTTCTATTAGATCGTCATCAGGATTTAGTCTAATATACATGAACAATTATATGAATATGTTAAACCAATCAAAGCAATTAATGAGTCAATGAAATGAAATTGATTGCGTCACTACACATGATAGGCAAAAGTACAAGTTGACGGTAGGAAGACAGGTGTACTGATAGTAGTAGTAAGAAATATATAAAATACGATAACAAAAGTTTTATCAATAGTTAAACATTGGATATAGTAAGTCAAACGTGGATAAATAGACTTGAGATAATCATTACACACCATTCAAACCATTACGTAATTAGCAGTGTGTACATAATTAGATAATGAAGAATATAAACGGGAAGAAGCAGAAAATTACACACAAATACAAGATGTGAAAATAATGCTTATAATAACAAAAATAAAAATACTAAAAAAATCATTTAAAACGTTGGTTAAGTTATGGAAGGCATACGGGTGTCACGAATTTCTTCTGAACACATAAATTGGGGTTGAATGTACGAGTTCCTATGGCTTTAAGTGTATGTGGGAGACGGGATCGAACTTTGTCGGGAAATGATGGAGGTATACGATGGATTACTCGGAACGATCTAGATTTATCAACAATATGACCACTATCGACCAGATATGCCAAGATAGAACTGCATATTGTTTTTATCTGGCCCTTCATAAACCATGCTGGGAGATGTTCACTCATTCGTTGGTTAAGTTGCCTGGTAGTACGCCTCAATATAGCTATCTCTAGAGGAGCAGCTGAATTTGTAAATACACATAGAGGAGACCAACTCAGGTAACTTATCCTTCGCTTGGTTAGACATCGCTGGCCGAGTAGAGAAGATCAAAGCAAGTTTGCCTGCTGAGAATGATCTATTAATTGCCTTTGTTAATCTATCCTGCAGAGTATCGCTAACCACATATCTTTTGAATTATAATTTAATAAATAAAATTTTCCTTCTTTTTTACATTATACTCATTTTGTAACCGAAAAGGTACTGATCGCTTCTTAAGAGTAAATATACTTTCACAAGAATCTATAACGATAAACTAGTTATGTGGTTTACGTGGAATGATTCAGCTATAAGGCAAACTATGAAATTTAGATTTTCAGGCCACAAAAATATGAATTAAAATCCAACATGAAAGATCTGTTCTGAGAATTCACATACTAAGTTCTTGCAATAAGTAATTTGTTCTCTCTGCTTTTTTTTCACCGTGAACTCACATCAAGTATGTGAACTTTTATTACTGTTTTAATATGAGAGAGCTTTTTATGCTTAATTTGAATATCTTCATTTTGCACACTCTACACCCTAAAAATATGGTACTAGTAATTAAATGTTCACACATATTATTCTCACATGAAAACCAATAGTTGACCGTAAACAAAACATTATAGCTAGTGATAAAATTTATGTATAGATTAATTGCTAATATTTTTGAAAGAATTCGTGAAACATCCTGTCACGAGTGTGTTATGTACATTAATTGTCTTATGGCATGTGCAATTATTTACTGTATATTCAATATGTTCGTTATCCGTTTATTCAATATTTTAACACTCAATTAAATAAGCTAAGCAATCATAGTTTCTAGAATACATTATTTATTAGAAAAATAACTTGTCTTTTTATTACACACAAAATAAGAAATTAAAATACAAAGCCATTTTTCTGGTCAGTTACATTCAGATCATAAAACATGGTTGATGAGTTCATTCGCTTAATATGACTTAAACTATGAGATTATCAGAATCATCAACTAACTTTAAGCTACTGACTAGAGGAATCTGTTTTTAGTATTCTTTTCAATGAGGCTTTTGAATAAATGTTCTTTTTTCTGCTGTGCTTGTTCAATCAACAATTTGTTCAAATATCGTATTCTGATAAGATTTTCTAACATTTTTCCTCTTTTTGAAGGAAATACTTTTACTTCAGTTTCTTTTATCAGCCAAACAGCATATGACTTTAGAAATAAACTGAAGAATATGGCAATTAGTCTGAAGGTTTATTGGTGTTAACATTGGGAACGACAACGTGTAAAACTCTTGTACAGATAAAGATAAAATTTTCAAGTTTTAGAAATTCTCCTGGTTTGGCATCATGAAAGACACAAACTATACTGGAAAAACAATAAATCACGAAAATGATCTGTTGAATGAATTCTTATTACTTCACCTTAATGGAATTCCCTTTATGAAGATATTTCTAGTGGAAATAATTTCTCATTCAAACAAAGTTATTGATTTTATCATGGTCATCAGTTCTTGTAAAGAGTTATATATATATATATATATATATATATATATATATATTTTTTTTTTCAACTATTTGTAGGGTCCATATGAAGTAGATGAAGAGGATTTGAAACATCCAGAAAGGTTGAATCCACGTCAAGTTTTATATTGGTATTGGGCAAGATGGGGTTGCTGGTACCGATATCAACCTGTGGACCATATCAGAGTTTACTTTGGAGAAAAGATCGGTTTCTATTTCGCCTGGCTTGGTAGGTTTATTTTGAGGAATAAAGCATGGGTTATTCATTCTTTGCTCATATCATCCACCAGACAATTAATGTTTGATAGACTTCAGTAGGGAAAAGCTACAACTATTCAGAGAAAGATGCGAAACTGAAAACTCTAGAGAGTGTCATTCAATCAGCTAGTTATGGAATGCAACTAGGAAGCCTATGTATCAGTGCCAGATTACAAAACAGTATGAGATTTATTAGCTCGCATTAAAATCTGATGCTCATTATAAATAATGTATTTAGCTTATTATTTTAAATATTCTTGTCACCAAGTCGAAAATCTTCAAAACTCACTTTAGAAAAACAGAATAGATTTTCTAATAATTTTGCCGTCGACCCAAGAAAGTGTTTTACTCTCTTTGAAGATCACGGATATCACGGTTAACGTGCATCTAAAGAAATGGAAACCTAAATGTAAGAAATAAACTCCAGATTGTCATTAAGATTTCTATTGTTATTTTTAAAGGCAGAGACAAAAGTGATCATCATGTTCATACTGATGACTCAGTAATTGGAATTGTAGAAATGAACCTTACTCTTTCTAAAAAACGGACAAATCTAAATAATAATAAAAGTTTCATTAACATTGCTCTTAATTTATAAAAGTTTGATATGAATTACAATTTTTATAAATTTGTTTCCACATAGGGAAGTAATTTCTCGTTCACTAACCTAAATGTTTATTGAAAGGATATTCATATATATATATATATATATATATATATATATATATATATATATATATATCATTTGATTATAATAAATTCATCGTTTTAACTACCTGTATGAAACGTTTATTGCTAACATTAAAAATTATTCTCTAATATGATTTACATTATATTATTAATTTATTCATAGGTTTGTATACTGCATGGTTGTTACCAGCTGCATTGGTCGGAATCTTTGTTTTCATATATGGACTTGTAACAATAAATGACTATGTTCCAGTGTAAGTGTTGATTAGGTGTAAATGTTGTTTACGAATGTCATAGGTATTGATTTCAATCACTTAGAGAAGAGAATTATATATTATTTCAGTCAACTACAGTTGAGTGCTTACTTTAATGAGGAAAATGATTTTTAAATTTATTAAGATATATGTATATTTAAACCCACAGGAAATTCCTTTTATAATATAAATTTTGTCATAGGAACAATATAAACCACTTTTTAATGGTTAGCTGTTTATACTGCAACAGCTCTTTACTGCCATTATTCTTTAACATGGGTGCCAACAAATTTTTCGTTATATATTTAGAATCGAACATATTTGTGAAATCCACATGATAGTTATCATGGTGTCAAGATACTTCAAGTAACTAACGTCTAAGATGAATAAAAGAGTACTTTTATCACCTTAATTGTAAAAATAGGAATTTCAGCTATAGTAAACTAGTGAGATTTTGAAAATAAGGTTAAATGATAATGAATGATTCACAATTTCCTGATGTTTTAATATATAGTTATTACGAAGAAATTGTAAACCTCTGAATAAAAATATATGTTACTTGTTAGAGTGACTGAATTCAGCTAATTCTGATTTAAAGAGAGTGGTTTTAATAGTAATATGATTTTAAGGATCTTACAACACACGATTTGTTTCATTCTTGCAATAAATAATAATCAGCATTTTTGTTATTTATTTGTGACTTGTAATCCTAAATTTTCACTATCGTAGATTATGTGTACGATCGCTTATATGGATCGATGTGAAGTTGATTTTTGTGAAAGTTATTGACGGAAACTACAAACTTAACAACCACAAACTGACGTCAATAAAATAGGCAGCTGGTTAGTAGAAATAGTGAATTTCGATCACACAAACGATACAGAACATTTCGATCTAAAATCGTATCAGACTCAACACACAAACCATGGCGACTTCCTATATATATACATATATATTTGTTATGACAGTCGTTAGTAGTGACTAAAATAACCGGTAATCTGTGTATCGGAAATCTCGAAGTTTATATACTTCTGCTGACCACCATAGTCGTTTCACAAGTTTTCGAGATATCTTCATCGGAAAACTTTGTTATATTCTGTGGTACATTATTTAAAACATCATGTCTTCTAGGATGGAAATTTACGATAATTAGTGAAATAGCACATTTGTTTCCAAGCAGTCTATAGAATATCAAAAACGCCTATACTTCTACGTAAACAAACGGACCAAGAGGAGAGGTAGTATATCAGCGTTATGGAAAGATACAATTACTGCATCATTGGCGAAAGACGATTATAGTGAAGCTAAGTTAACCCTAACCAACTTGAAAAACTCGTATACCATAAAGGTTTATCTACACCCAGCTCATACAAGCCCCTTCGTATTCAATCTGGACATTATGGACATTAAGTTTTAATCTATAAATAAACCAAGAAAGATTACCAAAAGACTGGAATAACGCCGTAGTAAGTCCTATCCTAAAAAAAAGCAAGATACACAAACCTGGGAACCATCAACCTATAAATCTAACTAGCGTAGTTGAGAAAAGATTGGCCAGTCTGAATTATGATGCGCTTAAAAACATTCATCAGTAACTGTCAGATAGTTTCTGTAGGCCATTTCGTGGCTGTAGACTTTCACGTGTATTTATTATCGCTCTTTAAATCATTTTATCGTAAGTATATAACAAAACCAGTGACAGAAGCCTAGGAAGGCCACCCTAAAATCTATAATTCCAAGTTCCAATTCGCTATCATCTAGCCTTAGTTTTAGTTTTTTTTACAGTTTCTTGAATTCTAATAAGGTTAATGAGTGATAAGCCCGTACGGAGGAAAATCCCCGATTTTCTTGAGTCTATGTCCATTATGTAGTATTAAGCCTGTTTCAATGTAGATTCAGGCGCTACGTTTGGCAGTCTGGTTTGATTTTATCGAAAGTCCGTTGGGCTTACTAGTCTATAAACTTTCAGTAAGGTGACCTGAGGGAAATCTGCAGGTTCTAAATTCGTTGCATCTACCTTTGCACTAATCACACCGAACACCATTTCCAACAGAGTATCAACAACTTAAGCGTTGACATATGAGTTTTTACACCGTCCAGTACTTGAGAAGAGGTTTCCAAATGAAATAGACACGAGGAGATAAAAAAATGATAACCAGAAAAAAAGGAACCATAGACTTTCTAGTCGAAACATACAAAAAATAAAAATAGAAACTAATGAACTGTAAAACACAGATGCATAGTTACGCTTAAGAAAAAACGATACGCTTGACGTTACTTTAACTAAAATTACTTCAGTTAGGGTTAAAACAGTAGTTTTGATCCGTTATAGTAGTCAAAAGTAAAAATTTAACTCAGAAAAGTAAAATACAACTGTCCATTATTATGAACATTGTGTCCATACTGAATAACTTTCCCGAATTTTCTATTTTTACTGATAGATTACACCTTTTCACGTTGTCTATATCGAGGAATATAATCAAACTCATAAGTCGTAGAAATATTTACCCCTAACCTAATTCATCACATTGATGGTTAAGAACTCAGGGCTGAAAATTATGTTTATATGTAGAATAATACTGACTTTAAAAATTTTGATTCAAATAATTTCATATTTTCAGAACATGGATGTTAATAATGCTGATGGGCATTCCGAGATAATTTTCTGAAAAATACAATAGTAAAATAATTTGAAACAAGTTTAAATTTCTTGACATTTCAATCAAGACTTTAGCCCATCAAACAACTAACATCAGAATGAATTTACATAGTTTGATTAAATTAACTGAAGAATATCCCTAAGGGACGAAAGACTAACTTAATTAGGTGGGTTGGAATCTGGATAAATAAATGGTATTTCTTAAACAAGGCTAATAATAATTAAACAGCTCATTATTTTCGTCCCCATATTTTAAAACGATCACTTTGGAATTGATGTTCTGAAAAGTCATTATAGGCATAGATAAGGTGTAAAACTGAAATTTATACGTTGAAATTTATAAATTCACATCGATCTTCATTATAGAACGAACCGATCATTTGCTTTAATATTTTCCAATATGTGTGACTACTTTGTAAATTGTAAAGAAATTTCACCCTTCAAAATCCACTCTTAAAAATCAAACTGTTATTCTTATTATTTTTCAAAGTTCGATTCACCTTTTCTAGCACAACTTAACAAGATTTGTTCAATAAAAATTGTAACTTACAGTATATCATTCATACCGTTTAACAATTACTAATATATACAACATTCTAAAAGACTCTGCTTACATTACCTTAATTTGTTTAATCACTAACAGGAAAGAAGCTTGTGAAAGTGATACAATTATGTGTCCTACTTGTGATATTGGCAGCGGATGTCGATACTGGAATTTACGAGAGTTATGTTTGTACTTGAAAATGTCTTACTTATTCGATCATCCAGGTTCTGTTTTCTATGCTATTTTTATGGTAATTTGGGGTAAGTCAATTGGGATTTTTAACCCCGATTTGCAATTTTTAAAAAATTGTACATAGGAATAAATGTTTCCAATTAAAACTAGGTGATTTCAAAATAAAAATAATTTGATCTTCAGATCATGACCTTTACGTTCTTCTAGCAATCAGGAATTAGATAAATATTTACTCGAGCTGTTAATGGATTTGAGAAGAGCAGTGAACTAAATAATTTCATTACAACTAATCCACTGGTTTCTAAACATACTTGGTTACATTTAAGACAATCGAGGACACAAATGGCTGAATCAAAAATCAGAAGAGAATAAAAAATTACCAAAATGTAGTGGAATTTTAATAGATCACATTCAATATGGCACTGAATAAATGATAGGATACTGCGGTATTTTATAGCACCGAAAAGGGTAACTACTAGGTGTCCCTAACAAAAAGCATGAAAATCATTAATCTTATTGTGAATGTAATAGCGTATCTAAATGTTTAGTCAAGGTATAATATTGTTTAGCACCAGGTTTTGACGGAAGTTGATTCTGCGAACGAATCAAAAGGTTATGAAAATAAAAATGTCATCGTCTTCCCATCGGGGACATTTACAACTGATTGAGTTTAAAATATATTTAAGGTCTACCAAATCTATAAACTTCAGTGGTTTTCTACAGCTGCGTACTCAACAAGAAAGCTGGTTTTTCATGTGATTTCACAGGGAACACTATTAATAGCCAAAAGCTATAGTTTTCAACCACTTATGGCACTGGAATTTGTGGAAGACTTCGTACCATCGTTAAGTTGTTTGTCCATCATGATCATGAAGTTCTAGTTATCGTACATACGAAAAACCGTAATGATTAGTCCACATGTAAAGGAAGTATTACATGATTCGACATTATCTACTACTTCATAAAACTTCATGCAAATATCAAGCAAAACTATCTGAGTTTTTGATAAATGTTACAAGTCCTCCTATAATGATACTTAGTTTAAAATAGATTTTATGAACAGTTAACTCGTACATAAATCCGTTATGAAAACACCTGATTCATCAAATATCTGACGGTACATTATGGTAACTCTTCTTGAGTGTCCATCACTTTATCCACCTATTCACAGAACCCCATCTCAATACGACTGTTAAAAAAAGAACATAGAGAAATACGACTGCATTTAGATAAAAACATGGTATAAGGATATGTAAATCGACTTCCTTCATGATATTTCGAAATAGGACTTTGCTAAGGAGAGCTTAGCTTGTCTAGCCCTTCTGTTATTACTTATCAGTTCCTTCTTTAAACGGTAATCTTGATGACATTTATGTAACTGATATGTCTAAGATAAACTTTGTTGTTATCTAACAAGCTGCTGTAGCTTTTAATATAGTCACCTAAATGTGTGCTTCAATGTAGTTGAGTAACTATATAAATAGTGATGCTTCTTTCTAGTTTGTGACTTCTGTTCCAAAGAAAGGTCATTTGCAAGTCAAGTCATATAAGCGCATAGATTATTAGTGTTGAAGTATAGTTGAGTAATAGATATCCAGTCTATGAGAGTTTATATTCGTTCTCCTTCGAATTAGGAGAATCATTAACTGTTAGTGAATAGTAGCCTCCGTAATCAAACAAAAATCCTGTATACATAATCGGCTTTCTAGGGTTAATGGATTCTCATAGTTGAATGGGACTCACCAGCAGTGCATACTCACGACCCCTGCTCGCGCGAGCTGAATTCGAGACCTTCGTTCTCGCACGAGAGCACTTAAACTCTAGACCAATGAGCCGGCATCGAACTGTATCAGTGTCTAACGTTGGTCAATCTAAGGTATTGCGCAATCTCTTCCGTTTTATCCGGTAGGGTTGAACTCCATTGGTCACGTTTTATGACTAGAACTCTGGAGAGCTAGTCACCATTCGATTCCCGCGTGCAAAGGTCATGGATGCGCGCTGCTGATGAATCCCATACTAGGACGAAATGGCCATCCAGTGCTACCAGGTTTATAAAGGTGGTCGTATTTAGATCAGTTGGTGATTTCATCTGTGGAAATAATACAATCTCCACAAATCCGATTCACCGGTAACTTAATAGATTCACAAATCCTCACTCAGTATCTCAGAACTAGAAATTCTTACTTGTTTAACCTTGTGTGTATTGGTAAGAAAATGAAAAAATTATCATCTACTTATTCACGTAGTACTTAGGTTCATTAATCGACTAAGTACTTAGGATAAGGTAGATAGATTTCATGTTATATGTAACTAAACACTGATAATAAATTTGGCATTAACGGCCTCACACGTATCAGCTATCTTGATTGAATGATGGAATATATGCGGAATTGGTGAGTCATAATACATATGATAATTTCATTCAAAGTAGAGAGAAATAATGATGACATTGTATAGTCAAAATACTGATATTTTGGTGAAAGTGATTTACTTACCACACAATTCTTTTCTTAACTTACCACTGGCGTTCCAACATTAGATTAATTTTATCACAGTCTTAAGATCTGATTATATAACCAAATAGGTATGAGGGTTTATGACCTCACCAATCTGATTATGACTTCATTTTCAAGATAAAAAGTACTCATCACTCTCAGTTATGCTTAATATCTTATTTTAAGTCTGTTTTCCGTTCTGTCTCATTTCAAGTACCAATATCAACTCCGTTACATAAAGTATATCAAAGTATTGTTAATATTTAGATCAGTATCTGTAACTTTAGACGCTTGACAGCTTATGAGAAACCTTGAAATTGAATGATTTTAGTTTTTCGAAATCCATTTCTTTTTTTCAAATATATCAACGGAACCGGTTTGTCTGTCAAATGAATGTGATGCTACAATTATCAGCTAAATAATATTAAAGAAATTTCGTTGCATACTTTTACGAAATTAAAATAGCATACTACTTATTTAAATACTCCATTTTTACTGAGGACACATGCATAAATCAATTAATTCACCTGTTTTGGTCATATAGTGTAGTTAACTCTTACGCCAAGAAACTTTGAACTGTCGACTGAAATGCAATAAAAGAATGTATAAACTAGCTTCCTTCTTAAAATAATATGATAATATTCGAAAGTTATCACAAATTTCTTCCTGTTGAGTAGAAGTAATACTATCAAACTTGATTTTCAAGATATTTCAATCTAAACATCTTTCTCAACTCCTGAAAAAAATTCAAGTCATTTTCAGTCATTCAGTTTCAATTAATGTCTTGTTTTGTTTTTATAGGTGTTGCATTTTTAGAGTGCTGGAAACGTAAAAATGCTAAGTTAGCGCATCGATGGGATGTGTTAGATTACGAAATAGAAGAGGAACGGCCGCGCCCACAGTACTCGGCTCACTGTACAGAATATGCGAAAAACCCCATAACGGATGTTCTGGAACCGTATTTTCCTCCTCGCGCTCGTGTTGCTCGAACCTTTGCTGGGTTGATATGTGTCATGGTGATGGTAAGATAACGTTCCATTCATATTTTACAACGATTTCTCCATAATACTTTTTCGTACTATTTCGATTATTTTCATGCAAAAATAAACCTATTATATATAGATATTGCTTACCTACTTACACCTGTAACCTTAATGGAGCATAGACTGCCAACTAGCATTCCTCAACCTACGCTATTCTGGGCTTCCCTTTCTAGTTCTCTCGAGTAGTTATTATTCTTCTTACGTCTGACTTCATTGTTCGGGGTAGTGTTTTTCGGTCTTCCTCTTTCCCTTTGGCCTTGAGGATTCCAAGTTAGGTCTTGTCATGCGACGCAGTTGGGTGATTTACGTAATTTTTTGTGTCTTGCCCACTTCCAGAGCTTATTCCCGATTTCTTCCTCCTCTGCAATCTGGTTTGTTCTCCCCCACAGTAGGTTCTTGATGATAATGTTTCGCCAACTGATCTGAAGCATTTTGTGTAGACCACTGTTAAAAACACTTGTATCTTATGGATGATGGCTTTCGTAGTTCTCCAAGTTTCTGCCTCATACAGTAGAACTGTCTTTATGTTTATATTGAAAATTCTTACCGTGGTATTGATTAATAATTGTTTTGAGTTCTAGATGTTCTTCAATTGTAGAAATGCTTCCCTCGCTTTTCAGATCTGCGCTTTCGCATCTGCATCAGATCCGCCGTGCTTATCAATGATCCTGCCCAGATAAGTAAATGTTTTTACATCTTCCAAAGCTTCTCCGTCATGTGTGATTTTGTTGATCCATGTTGTATTGCATCAGATAATCTTGCTTTTCCCTTTGTGTGTGTTGAGACCTGCTGCTGCAGAGGCTCCTGCTACACTGGTCGACTTCCCTCGCATTTGTTGTTGCATGTGCAATAGAAGAGACAGATCGTCTGCAAAGTCCAGCTCCGTCCTGGCTGTCCACTGTATATAGTGCTCCCCTCAAGATGTTGACGTCCTTACAATCCAGTTGATCACCAGAAGAAAGAGAAAGGGTGAGACTATGCGACGTTGCCTGACACCAGTCCTTACTTCAAACGAGTCTGTGAGCTGTTCGCCATCCACAAATTCGCAGTTTAATCTATCATAAGAATTCCGTATGATGTTGATTATCTTTTCAGGCACGTCGAAGTGTCGAAGGAGACTCCATTGTGCCATCCTGTCCAAGCTACCAAATATTTTCTCCAAGTCGAATAATTTGATTCGGAGTGGTCAGCTCCATTCACCTTGATTAGGAGTCTTTTTTTCTAGCTCGTTGGTACTTGTTCTTCATCCCTAATCTTGTTGAAGAGAATGTGGAGTATCTTTGTAATTGTTGTCATGTCTGCTTTCAGTGCCTTAGTTAGTATGGTGTTTGGTCCCGCTGTTGATTTGTCTGATGGCCATGCTGATCACATCAGTTGTTGGTGGGCCAACATCTTTTGGGAGGTCTGCAGGCGCTGCTTCTGTGCTGAGTGTGTTCGGCGGTCCAGGAATCCCTCAAAGTTCTCTGTCACCTGTTTAACTCTTCTTCAATGTCGGTGATTACTTTGCCTTCCTTGTTTTCACTGGTCGTTCTGGTTTATGGTAGTTTCCAGTGAGCCTTTCACAGCAATTGCTAGGTCTTCCACATATATACGCCTGTCGACTCTGATGCTCCACCTCACTTGCTTGTTTGCTTCTATGTATTCAGCTAGTTATTTGGCTTCTATTGCTCTTGTTTGGCTGACGTTGATTGCTGTCTTCTTGTTCCTACTTTCTCCAATTTATTCAAGGGTACCAACAGAGATCCGTTCCTTGTGACTGAACTTCTTGTGGTCCAGAACCTCTTGACATGATGAAGTGATTGCCTGTTTGATTTTTTTCCAATTGTCCTCCGCGGTAGTTTCTTTTCTATTGAGTAGATCGTGCAGGGCCTGGAACCTATTGTCGAGGGATATCTTTAGCAGTTTGTCAGTATCGTGAAGAAAGGCCGTAATAAACTTTTGTGATGTTTTCTGCCTCGTTGTCCAGTGTCTCTTGAATTTCAGTTTCATTTTGGAGACCAGCAAGTGATGGTCTGAAACTATATCAGCACCTCTATTGGTTCTCACGTCCTATATCGTCCTTCTGGACCTTTTATTGATACAGATGTTGTCGATTTGGCTCTTGTTATCGTCATCCAGTCAAATCCATGTAGCTTTGTGCATGCGCTTACATGGGGATACTGTGCCTCCTATGACCATTTTGTTGAAGGCACAATGCTTTGCAAATTTATCACCATTTTCCTGCTTTTCTCCCAGTCCATGTCGTCCCATGATGTCTTCATATTCAGTGTTGTTCATTCCAACCTTCGCATTTAGGTCCCCCATCATAATACTCAAATCCTTTGATGAGCGTTTGATGACGATCGGCTGAAGCCTGTCGTAGCATTGATCTTTAACGTCTGCTTTGTAGTCGTTGGTAAGTGCATTGTAGTGCTCTCTTTCTTTGTTTTGGCGAATGCTTCGATGATCCTTGGTCCATGAGATTCTCATGCTATCGGTGCCTTCTGTGCTTGTTTAGACAGCATCAGTGCAACTCCTTGTGTGTCTGAGGCATTTTCTTCTTCATGCCTGGAGCATAACAGCAGCTCTCTCTTCCTTGCCAACGTGCGTTCATTTTTTTTTCGCTGATTCCATGCAACTTCAGGTTCTATTTTTTCGTTTCCTCAGTAACCAGAATGGTTCTTCCTGCTTCTCATAATCTACGGATATTCCATGCACCTAAAAGAATGGTAGCTCTGGTTGTTAGAAGGGGGAGTCGGCCTCGCGACTTCCAAACAAACCTTTCTAAATGAAGACCTAATTCCCAGAGCAGTTTAAGTGGTTTGAAATTTATTTTCTGGCTAGTGTATTTTAGTGAGGGGGTCGCCAATCCCAAGCCCAACCCTCTACCTTTATCTGGTCTTATATATATATATATATATATATATATATATATATATATAAGCTCCCAGTCAAGTTAATAAGTTTATTCAAAAAGCAAATGAATCGTATTAGGGAACTTTTCTCTGTTAACTCACTTGATCAGTTTTAAATTTCAATTGCAGTTTTTCGACCTTACGATATTTTTAAGTTATATTCACATATTAAGTTATTTATTAATGTCTACTGAGCTCTACTCATTTGGATTTATTAAAATTAATGACTCATCATTGATAAAATTAAAGTATGTGAGGTGCATTCACATATGTTTTCGATTAATTTTTGATGTATAACAAATATTCATATGTGGTCTTTTTTCAAAAAACCACATTGTGTATGTGCGCTCATAAAGTTTTACAAATCTAGAACAACTGGTCAAGTAAAAGTTTATAAATTATAGTAAGCGATATGTTAATTACATGATGTCAAAAGAATAATGATTGTCAGGTTGAACTGGATCTCGTACATGTGCCTCTAATTCCAATGTTTATATTAAAATTCTGTATGAGCGAAAAAACATTACTCAAAGTTTACGTAAGATTATACGCTTTGGAAATTTATGTTTGAGATCATCAAGGAAGTGTAGTAAATCTTAAAACTATCAACTAGCAATATATGATTGCGCTGAATGAGATGTTAGTTTAGATTTCTTCGATACCAGTAAGTGTCCAGAAAATGTTATGGAGTTACCTGAAATAAAATATTTATGATTTGACTGGATAAACCTGTATCTGAAGTTCACCATTTTGATGTACAGGTAGTTACAGGCAGTCAACGAGATGGCCTGAATCTATATTTCATGATAGTCGTCACTTGTCTGTAAAGCGTATCTGCAATCTCAAGGGAGCTGGTGTTCTCTGTGAAATTCAAATCCACGTCAACTAGCACCGTAGTTTAAGATAGAAGAACTAAGTTACTTAGGCTGTTATTGAGATACTTGCATTAAGTGATCACTGAATAGTAACCGGTGTCATTTCTGTCTAACAAGTTCGCGGATGTATAGCTTCTACTATCTACAGCGATCCATTAGAGGGAATAGTGTAATTAAGCGTTGGTTGCCAAAACTATTTATTTAATATTGCTTATGTTGCTATTCCCATCAATGATTTAAAAACTGATCACAAACCTATTGGATGGATTTCCGAACCTGATCTTCTATTCTTAGTGTTGTTCAACTAGAGAAAATCACATTAATTTAAACGCAGTTAATCAAATAAAGAAAACAAATCGTTTTAAGACTTCAAGTATAATACTATGCTACAATGACTGTCAACCTCACATACTGAGTTAAACATCAATAATTTTCAGTTTCGGATCTTTGATTCAGTATCTCTCTGATAATTGATTCAATAAAGCAATAAAGATTGTTTTTGTGAAATTGCGATTGAGATGAAACGCTGAAACATCTAAAGAGCCTGACTTCTAGAAACTTTCATGAGTAATTTAATAAAATAAAAAGAGTTATGAAAAATGTGTTTCCACAAAGAAGGATTATTTTGGAAGTAATACAACTGATTTCTACAGACGTTTTATATCGTAAACTCTTAATGACCAATGTACAGGCTGGCTTTCGAAACAATAAAATGACATATCCTAGTGATCAGAATGATATACATTTCCATTAAAATAACCTCTCAAGTTTCACTTGTATTTTGCTTTTGGTTATACAACCTCCTATAGTGGGTATGTTCACTGTAGTGTAGATCGACATCCAGTAAAAGTTCGAACTGTAAAATGAAATTTTTGGTGAAAATTACGTTTCAGTATGAGTCACTCACTGACTTAACGAACAGAAGAACAGTCTAAAGTGTTGGATAAAGCAAACTTAGTGAAAAATGAACCTTTATGGTTAACATAAGCCCATATTCTCTAACTTTACTCTTTGACTGACATATAATGGAAACCTAAATGTTTTTCTTACCCAGTATGTATATTTACACGAGCTCCACCTGGTAAGAAATTTTGCTTTTTATACTAGACTGCTGAAATGTTTTTAAGTAGTTAGTTAGAAATGAATAACTTTGTATCCAATTTCACTCCAACAAGTGGCAACACAATGGAAGCCTATCATTTAATGTTTCTTGATCCAAACACTAGATGAAGCAATAACAAGGACCAACTGTTAGAACGATGCAACAAAAGTACTTTCTAAACTTTCGCAATGTAAAACTTTAGATGTGTTTCTTTCGGAAACAATTATAACTCAGAAGTACTTCTAGTTACATTAATAAGTGTATTCAAAATAGTACCTACGAAATGTGTCATAATGTACAGAAAGAAATATCCTGTCAGACACTTAAAATATACTTTTAATCGTATCGTTCAGTAGATCTGTTTTCCTATCCACAGGATAAACGCATTTATCATAATTTTTTACAACAATTATCTATTAGTCGAATATTTCAAAGGAACATTTTATTTACGTCAAAATAAGTAATTTTGGATTTATTTTAATATGACTCTAGATAAATGAGTGTTGTTTGACTCAAACAAATTTAGCCCCTCAAGTACGCACAATATAAATTTACGTTTTATTGAATTATTTTATGACAGATTACTACTCTGTTGAAGTTTAAACTAAATATGAGTCTGTGAATAGTGTCCAGTCACAACTATAACATTAAATAAATATCATATTCAGGGTATTATTATGTTCGCGTTAAAATGTAATGTATCTAAAGTATCGGTTTCACTCTCAGAAAACTCTGCAGTCACTACAATCTAGAAATGAGTGTCACCATGAAATTAATTTGAAGAAAAGACAAAATTTAGAAACAAATAACGCTAAACATATGGTCTACTATTTGTATATATTTCATTTCTAACATTGCAAAATTTAATGTATTTATCAACTAGTCGTAGACTCTTCTACAAATTAAATGACAGAAAAATTACACACTTGATTTGAATGAGGAGAGAATAATTTCTTTGAGATGGTCACTACACCTTCTGAAAATGATAAATGTTTATAATTAATTACTTGTCTGGTTTTATGTTCCAATCAGCATGCACATAGAAGTAGTTAATATCTAATACCGTATACCTGGGATTCTATACGGAATAAAATATTATACAAAACACGTAGTCATTAAGACATTCAAAACTTCATGTTGATATTTATTTTACAAGATGATAACATATGATGACCTTTCACTTTCAAAAGTAAACATATTTTCGCTTTCACATTTCTATTTACAGGTTGTTTTGGTATTGGTGTTCATAGTAGCTGTAATAATTTATCGGTTTTTAATAAAAATTCCTTTATTTCAAAATAAATTACTTCGTTCCAATGCAGAAATCTACGCAACACTTTCAGCAGCTATTGTCAATCTTATTCTAATTATGTGTTTAGGCAAAGTATATGAAACGTTAGCTTACAAAATGACTCAATGGGGTAAGAAACTCATTTGTTCTTGATATAAGTAACATTTAAAAAGTTTTTTCATCACTGATAAATTATAACTTCGTTCAAAATAAGACTTTTGAACTTGAAAAAGAATGACTTTCGGTCATGGAAACGCATGCGTTTGATCAAGTGAACTTGGAATGTACGTACGATTTATTCTGAACCAAGGTCAGTAATGTTCTAGACCCTATGTGCTATGTTGTATGAATAGGCGGATAAAAAATTATGCATTACTAAAGAGTAGTTAGTGTCAACTGACTGAGTATTTTCACGAATGAAAACTAAAATCGTACTAACGAAAATGCCGAAACCTCAGTAATGAATACTGTAACTTAAAATTCTACAACATTAATCTTTATTTTTATTACATCCTAATGCATACCTACAAGTTCCTCAATCAATTCGAAATTCCCAAAAGACAAAGTAAATAAGAATGGAAAATTACAAGAAGCCTAAATGATTTATAAGTGGATTTAAATGTTAAGTGTTAAAATAGCGAACTTTTTCACCAATTATCGTTCAAGTTTGTCTAAAATGTTTAAACTGTAAATTTGAGTGGCTATTTACGAAAGCGGTAGGTAAATCAAACTATATGCTTAGTGAAATAATAGAAATCAGGTAAATATAATGCATTACAAGAAAACAAGTCCCGGTAATTGAGATGATATAGTTAGCTTATATATTTTTCTACAATCATATGATGATGTAAACGTAATATATAATTATAGAAAAGACTCAGTAATTACGATGATATTGATAAGAGAATAATTTAGAGCGATAGGTGTGCAGTATACATGACATTTCAGCCATGCATTTAAAAGCGAAACAGGGTAAGGATCCCAGTATATGTTCACGAACGCAGAAGGATAGAGGTTTATTTAATTTATCAATGGGATATTTTCTCGATGTACTTTTCGCTTAACTAAAATGCAAATATTTACAAGAACAAATTAATCATCTAGAAGCCTTCAAGCGTTTCAGTTTCTCTCTCCTGTAAAAAGGAACCACAAAGTTCTTCAGAAAGCTTTCAAAATATGGTTTAATTGACTGCAATGCATCTGGATAATCATATGATCGCCTTTCTTATTAGCACTTTCTTCCACAACCATTAAATTTTACTTTAACATTAATAATATTCATTAAATTCCATTTAAAACTAAGCTATATAGTTTTTCCACTGTACACAGTCAAAAAATAGACCATAGAACTGATTGTTATTCTCCAGGAACAAATAAATTTAATTTCTTACCGATTATACACGTTGAAAATAAGTACTAATTTTTAGATAAAGCAATGATTTTGTCAGTAGTCTTCTAGAAGTCAGTATAAACCAATAATTGAGAATGAATTTATCGACATACATGATAATTTGGATAGCATTAAACATGCTCATTTCAATCTCATAACACTGTTCTTCTTCTGACACGATTCTAACTGGTTTGAAAGATATTAACAGTAACTGTTTAGCCAGTGGAATGTATTGTATCTAAATATTACATTCAGTTGTAGCAACTAGTAGTGTTGTAATTCAAAGGAAATTAAAGGTCCTAGAGTAGAATAAAAAAGGAAAACTCATAGGTGTAAGGATATTCTCGGAATTCTAGTGAGAAAACGTGACTAGTGGAGTTCATCCTGTCGTTTGTAGGCAGTTTCCTACCGAAGACAACCGAAAAGGTTGCGCAATACCTTAGACTGATCAAAGTTGGACACTCACGCTGTTGGATGCCGGTCCCTTGGTTTAGAGTTTAAGCGTTTTCATGCAAAACCGAAGGCCTTGAGTTTGATTCCTATGATACGGGGGTCGAGTACGCGCATTGCTGATGAATTCCAAACTAGGACGAGAGGACTATCCAATGCTTCCAGGTTTTTAATGGTGGCCTGTCAATTCATAATTTGTGATTAACTCAGTGAAATATATATATATATATATATATATATATATATATATATATATATATATATATATGGTGTGTTAAATTAAACAAATATTTCGAAGGCCATCCAATGATGGGTTCTGTGGCATCTTTTTTGTATATGAAACTAAAATAAAATTTATCACTGAAACATTCACAAGATATCGTGCTAGGATTCAGACATTATTTTATAATCTTCTAAATTTTAAGTAATAACATAAAATTCTTGTTTTATTCACTTTTATTGATTGTTTTTTTTTATAGAAATGCATCGAACACAAAGTGAATTTGATAACCAGCTGATTTTTAAAGTTTTTCTATTTCAATTTGTGAATTTCTACTCGTCTATATTTTATGTAGCATTTTTCAAGGGACAGTGAGTTTTATTGAATATTTTTTTTCAAATGTTTATTTAAAAAATGTCTTAAACTGAATGTTTTTGTACAGTTACACTTTCAATGTGTGCAAAATACAATGTGGATAAAAATGAGATAACATGCAATGTATTAATGAGCAACAATGATTTTATGTACTATGACATGTTTAAAAAAATTAGAAAACTTTCATTCTTATAAGTTACTTGAATTTCATCGTAACTCAGAGGAACCATACTATTCTTCATAAGTGTGGAATGATAACGACGATCTCTATTCCAAGACGAAAAATGACTTATGCTTCTTCTTGTTAGTAAGATGAAAATTCTTATTTTTTTTTGAAAATAGAATATGTAGTAATATAAATAACGCACAAATATTGAAATACCTTCAGTAAATAATTCGCACTTTTTAGTTATTTATAACCATAAAATAGTTTTCCTATGAACTGAAAATGGATGATAATGCTGATCATTTTGTTGCTTTCAATAGGAATACTTTTTCTAAACTGTAAATATTTAAACAATCGCTAAACTTTCTCAAAAAGATCATTCGATCGAAGTAAACTTATTAAACTATTCTAAATTGTACAATGAAATAGAACAACGTATTTTCAGTTCAACAACAGAGTCTACGAACAAACGAAAGGAACGCCAATGGGATCGCGAAAGCTGTAATGCAGAGACTAGAAGCGTCGATTTTACCAGTGATCAAGCCAAAAATGTGGGTTCGTTTTGTCGACGACGCATTCCTCATTATCAAAAAGAACGGGCTGGAGAACATCTACAATCAGATCATCAACGTTTTCGACGACATCAAATTCATGATGGAAAAGAAATTAAACTACAGTCTATCATTCCTGGATGTACTAATCACCAGAACTAACACAGGAAAACTGGAAACTCAAGTATTTCGGAAGCCAACCCACACAGACGTAATTCTCAACTACGATAGCAACAACCCAAGAACCAACGAAATCAACTGCATGTAAACATTGTTTGTGAGAGCGAAGACACACTGCAGCACACTTGAAGTGCAAACAAACGAAGAAAAATATTTAATGACTATCTTCCAAAAGAATGGCTATCCACGCAAAGTCATCAAAAAACATCAACTGTAATCATCAACAAAAGCGAAATCAAGTACAGGAACCAAATAAAACGGATCATCCTACCATAACGTAATGGATATACGTAATATATGGCAAGACCATTTGGACTCGGTGTGGTACACAAACTAACAGAATCACTTCATTCAATCCTATTTCGACCGAAGGACAAAATGACAAAAGAAGAAAAACCAAATACCAGACTGTGAAACATACTACATAGGACAAAGTGGAAGGCTTCTTCAGCTTCGTTTACGTGAACATCAATTAGCAGTCAAACGCCACGACAATTCTTTGCTTATATCAATACACACCAACAATAATGGACATACATTCGATTGGAACAATGTGAAAATACTGGATAAGGGAAGCACAAAGAAAACTAGAGAATTTTTAGAAGCTTGGCACTCAGGTCAATCAGTAATCAACAAACACATTGACATTGACCCAATTTATCAACCAATCAGAACAATCATAGGTGACATAGGATCAAGAAACGGATCGAATGGGGAATACAATCAAAACAAAGGTACAGACAACGACAGGTTTAAGGTCAACAGCAACCAATCAAGATCGAGGTTAGCAGAATAAGCTACAGGTCAAATGAGGAGAAATTCGAATGTTTCATTTCTATCTGAAGTTTGTGCTGATGATGTTGTTCAGAAGAACAACGAAAGTTCCAGCTCAGAGAACGAAACAACAACGGAACTAATAACATGATCTCATTTAAGCTTTAGTTCATTGTAGAAACACTATTCATTTCATTTCCCTCATACATATTTCCAACCTGATGTCTCATCACCATTGTCGGTGGAAATTCCAAATTATAAGGTCAATTTTCGTTTGCCATATAATCGCTTGACATAATGATTTCAGGACCAACACTTATTTCTATGGGAAACATGATTATTTAAATGTAAATTTCAAAGTACATTGAAGTTTGATTTATTTTAAAAGTTTACCAAATTATCTGCATTCATAAATCTAGCATGGTTGGCTATCCCGGTCATTACGCATCATTTTTTGGTTTACGTAATGAAGCGTGTGATAATGGAGGTTGTTTAGTTGAATTGGCTCAACAACTACTAGTTATTATGGTTGGGAAACAAATCATCAGTAATTGTCAAGAAATTCTACTCCCGTGAGTATACAGATTCTAAAATAATTTTTGACTGTAATTCTTGATCAAACAAACGACTTTTACTATTATGTAAGCGTAGTGAACGAAGATGGAAGACCAGGGAGGATAATTATTTTTATGAACTTCAGCGCGAAACGGCTTCATAGTCCACTCATTACTACTTATTAGCTCCATCGTAAGTAGTAGACACCGTGTTATTGAAAACAATTATAGAACTGCCGCATAGTTACATAACGTAGATTTATGGTTTTAAACTTCAGCCTAACTTGATATTAGCATGAAATAAATAGACTGGCTTGAGTAAATATAAATAAATACACTTAATCAATGAAATAAACGTTTTTCAATATAGTTCAATTAGGCTGATAATCCTCGTGCTACAGCTGTACAGTAAAAGTTCAGTTCATCGAATATAAGAATCATAAATAGACATATAGAGATAGATCTATAAATACATATGGAAAATCTTTCATATGATCTAAGGTCAAATGAATGCAAAAGTCAACGAGAATACAGACGCAAATTAAGCGAAATCATATGAAGTCAACATGTCATGAACAAAGCTTTCACGTACGATTAATTTAACTCACTGAGAATAATTAAAAATACTAGATATTGCTTAAATAATTTAAAGTTGATGTTATATAAAATATAAATCGAAGCTTCACAGTTGACTATACAGATGAGTGAACTCAATTCCACCGAAGACATAAAACCTCTCTCATTTGCTGGGTTGAGTTAGTGGATGATCATAATAATTATGAATGAGTGAAGCTGGAAAACCTAGACAGACAACCAATAAAGCTTCTGACCTCAGTAGAAACATTAGCAGACAACCTATGGTTATGGGTTGAAAAGAATTATTACGTATTAAATTATAAAGCACTATCTGTATGTTCAAGTAACATAAAATCATATTATACATTGGTAGAATGATTTATAGAGATTAATTATAATACAGAATATAGTATGAGATAAAGATTGGCTCAAATCAATGAAGTTCATTATTTAATATGTTAAATAAAGAAATTCTCACTGCATCCACTAACAGCACAAAATGTTGATATCGGATTAAACCATTTCCTTCCAGCTTACAGTATGTAAAAGCTTTAGCACGGAACAATCAAAATAAAATTTGAGCCGATCACGCAGTAAAGAGATGACCTGTAGGTAAAGATTTGTATAAAAGCATTAAAAAAATATAAATGAGTTAGTTACAAGTTACCTTATAGTGTTTGATTAGAATTAATATTGAACTTGTATAAATATAATAATGATAATTATGCAAACAGTAAAGAAAGTAGAGCATCTTACCAATTAGTCATACAGCTGAAGTATGTATTAATGTGTTTGACGAAATCATATAATTATATGTTGTACTGTTTGGAGTGAAGGGAATCAGAAAGCTCCGATTTAATGTTATCTATATAAGCTCGACAATTTCATAGTCCAACCTAAAATGATAAAGTCTGTCGAAAATATGCATTGATCATATAGGTGGTTCAAATATACTTAGATGACAGTCGTAGGTGAATTGTTATTAATGAGTCAATAATTATCATATAAGTACAGCTGAATCAACCCATTTATTTCACAACCCATTTTCAGTAACAAATATCTGATGAAACTAATAGAATCATTTATAGATTATATGGCTGAAAGGATCTTTCTAAGTAACTTAAGTTCAAGAGTATACCATAAAGGCAGCAGAATTTCAAAGCAAACACAGATTCACCACTCAGTTATATGCTTTTGATAATGAAACGTAACTTAGCAGTAAACTCAATGAATGTTACTTTGTCTTATTTTTTTTCGGAATAAAAATATTCACTAACTAAAGCACTGTGTTTACCCCCCCCCCCCCAAGTTTTCATAATGATATCAACTTGACGGTTAACTAGATTTAAAGGCTTAAGTTATACACTACAGTAATGCCGAGAACAGATTGTACATGGTAAGAAAATATTACTTGTAAACTATATATTATAAACTGCTTCTCATTTGATGCAGCAGAGTTTCTCAAATTCATGAAAACAAATTATTATAATCATTTTACCTTTAACTGCTAAATCTTGTCAATTTAGTTGAACAAAGTTGTAAACTTTAAATTCAGAAATTTCGATAACTTCATTAAGTGAAAAACGATAATGGAAAATCAAACAGCCTAGAAGAAAACTAAGTAGATAAGGTGTTATCTATGGATTGACCACTGCTTTAAAATGATGAGGAATTCTATTTTCTCTGCGTTTCTGTCTTAACATTTACTTTATTAATTGAAAATATTTCAATGATTTTACAAAATTTTATGAAATTAAATTTCGTTCATTCATCTCTGAATTAATCACACAGTAAACTGCGTGCTTGGTTCCATAAATACCGAAAGGGATTAAATAAGAGAAACGTCGCTTCAACTAGTGATCTGAGCTCAGCTCATATATTTATCGAAGACTACAAACTAATACCATATGAAGGATTATTTGATGAATATCTTGAAATGGGTAAGCTTTTCTAAACACTTATTCAATTACTTATACAACCAATACAATTGTTTGAAAGGACTATTTTATTTCTAGAAGAAGAACCATATTACGAATTTCAATGAAATTTACCCATCAAATAAACTGAAATAATAATAACTGTGTCGAAAAATTTCATATTCTTATTTACTTTTATGGAATAACACATAAGCGAACATTTTGTTTTCGATTAGATCGTCATCAGGCTTTATTCTAATATACATGAATATTTATATGAAAATATTAAAACAATCAAGGCAATTCGAGTCATTAATCACAATGAAATGAAATAGATTACGTCACTAAACCTTATAGGCGAAAGTACAAGTTGATAGTAGGAAGACAGATGTACTATCAGTACACCTCGATGTTTCGTTAGATTATTTTGAAATAAACTAATAAAAAGGTGAACATAACATAACATCCAAGTTGAATTCTTAATTTTTATCACGTCCAAAGCTGACCTAATAACTGTTTCAAGTGGTTGAACTTATATTTTGTATAAGTTGGTAGTCGTCCGCAAGGTGCACCATATATCTCAAGCGAAGTGATGCTTCCCTGGATGATTTAAACACTCATCACTGAGCTCCGTAGTCTAAAATTCTGCCACTAAGTTATTCATAAAACAGCAAATAACCTTAACACTATCACTGAGTAGTAACTAATTTCACGATCAATCGGTTAGCCAGTCAAGTTCAGCAAGCTAATGACCATGGTTCAAGTTCTACGGAGAGTATCACTTTCCTCAAAGTAATAAGCATGCCTTGTTAACGAGTGTCTGCTGATAAGAAATCTAGGTTCAGAATATCCGACAGGCTACCACAAGACAACATCAAGTAAAATAGCTTAGAATTCCAAATACATTGCAACTTGGTCAATAAAATTTGACCAGTACTGAAGAGCCAAACAAATCTGATATTATTCACTACTCAATGATCAGTTAGTTGTAAGTTAAAGTTTGTTTTAAAAGATAAAATCACACTAGATAATCTTAGTTTACATCAATATATGTATGCATTCCACATGGATGTATGTGATCACCTTGATACATTGAAACGAAATAACTTGAAATTCGAGATTTAGTATAAAACTATATAAATGGGTTCTTTATTTCAGCGTCAACACTATTCTTAATTTTTCCAGTTTGATCCAGGCTTTAATATCTTGATCAAATTAAAAAGAAAATGTAATTGAATAAAATGATCCGAAACATGCTTTGTTCATTACGTTCTATTTTTTAAATAACTCTTCTTGAATGTAGTCGATGAAAATTATCTATTTCGATACGTCTAAAGCCAGTATTCACAAACAATGCAGGAGTTTTATTGTCCTACACTGAATACAAGGTTACGCCGGAGTTAGTGTGTTATAATTTAAGCATTTTTTTTTATACCGTATTGGTACTATTAATTACTTCATGAGATTCATCAATCTAAATTACATTTCGTGTTCACTGAAACAAAGTAAGTAGCGAACAAAAATCATTGCAGATCATTCACCCTAATTCTAATTTTGTGATTGACATTTCAAGAATTTTATCTCTAATATTTCAGAGAGATTCCTAATTAGTTTATTAACTTTAACGAGAATTTAAACTTCATCAAAATGTGTTTAATATTTCTAGATAAACAAGTTAATTCCAGTTTTGATTTACAGCATTCTTAGTTTAAGGGATGTTTAAAAGTTTCAAATACACTTAGAATAATAAACACTTTTTACGTTCTGTTGAAACCCTGTTCAATGGACTAGAAGTTAAGCGTTCACGAACTGGACTGATGTTCCTAGATTAGTACCTTTAAATTATTCAATACAGATTAATTACATTGGACATTTTATAGAAATGCTCAGTATTCATTAAATTAGGAATAGGCTACCTGGTTTAATAAAAAAGGAATTCTTAGATATTTTGAAAATTAAAAATAATGCTACATACAACGAACATAATAGCCAGCTACCATTAAACTTTCTTACAGTTCTTCAATTCGGATTCATTACCATCTTTGTGGCTGCGTTTCCACTAGCCCCGTTCTTTGCACTACTTAACAATTGGATTGAAATTCGTTTAGATGCCAAAAAACTGGTATGTGAAACACGTAGACCGTTGGCTGAAAGAGCACAAAATATCGGTGTTTGGTTTAGAATATTAGATTTTCTTGTTCGGTTGGCCGTGATTTCAAATGTAAGTGAAAACGTTTATAATGGATTTTTCTGATATAAGAGTGATTTCTAATACTTTTTGGTCAGTTAGAGTTTAAACTCTATAGCGGTAAAACAAATTTTTATGCTTTTATGTAGTTCTGTTCTTGATTTCATCCACACAAAGTTTTTCTTTCATAAAACCTGAACAATTATTAGCGTATAACGTTCTATAGGCTTGTTTACTTTAAAATCTTTTATCACTTTTAACCATTTAATATAATTCGTTCGTAAGACAAACACGCTTCTAACTAGTAGGTGAAGATAATTCTTAATATTTATACTGTAATACAGACTTATGTAATTCGGCTGAATACATATAGCAAAACTTGTAAATCAAGCTTTCAAAACGTACGTTATACGTATTGAATTTCTCGCTTCCAAAAGATATTATCAAACTTCTTTATCAGATATTCACATTTTGAAACAATTTGAGTTGTGTGAGCCTATCTAATATGGTGAATTCCGAGTTTAGCATTCTGTACTTTTTACTTTAGTGTTTTATAAACTGTACTTTTACGCCTTCGTGATTTCGAATAATTGTACAATCAAAAAATTACACAAAACACTGCTGAAATGGTAGGCAGTAGCAAAATACTTATCAAGTTATTTAATAGCTCTTATAAGCCAAATCTTACAATCACTTTGATGTTTGAAAGATAGCCAATCTGACATTACCTTAACTCAGCAAATCAGTTTACATATATATTGTTTAATAATGCTCGATTTGGCGGCCGTTCATTCTTGACGTCTTTGTAATAAACACGATAGTTTAATAACTGCGGGCTCATTGTCGACTCAGTATATCACGAACTAAGAACATGAACGAGTGACTAGTGAGTTTAATAAAATCGTGCTCACTAAGATGATTGAAAATCCTCGTTTCTGTCAAGCATATAACTGTGTTTTTACTGCTGAATTTTCTAAAACTAGAACATAAAGACCACCTAGACTTGTTTTTCACCTTTTATCAGTTGATATTAATTACTGACAAAACAGTTTTGAATCGAAAAATTTCTACAAATAGTATAACCGAAATAGCAATAACAGCATAGCAGGACAAGTTTTATAGCTAGTTACGCTGTTCTGTTCAAGTTTGTTTGTATCAACTACAAAACAGAAGTAATATTGAGTTAAAGTGCTAAACAATTTAGTATAAAAAGCAAACAGACAATAGCATATACCTTGCCTTTAAATACTGCCATGGTAATTTTATGCAGTTCCGTTGACTGATCGTGTAATGTAGTGTTTTTTAATTGTCAAATTGTTCTCAAGATGAACTGAACCATAACACTGAGTCAATGTTTGGTTCCCATCTTCACAAGTCAGCATTCATTCAAAGTATTGCTAAATAAAAAGTACATTCTATCGTCTTAGCCCTAAAACTTGATCGTATTTAAAGAATTCATTTCCTGTCCATGCTCATCTCCAATCACCTTTGTACTTAATACACACAACGAAGTTAATAGAATTTCATGGGAAATCAAATGCTGAAGTCATCAAATATAGTAAATAACTGGACATGACCACTTGCTTTTTAGACATCGCCATATGTATTCATCAAAACATCCTCTTGTTCCTGAGGACAACAAACCAACCTAACTACGGTTGAAGTGACCAGCAATTTACGATCGAATAACTTAAGGTTAAACTATCTACTCCAGAAGCTTATATTGGAAGTAAAATATATTTGTTCTTTAACCTTTATGTATGTATCATGGATGAATTCAACCATACCTACCAGTAAAATTCATTTATTCAAGTAAACTTACATTAGAATTTGATACTGTATATGCGTACTTTTCGAACTACTGTTACAGGCCTTCATTATTGCATTCAGGTCAAGTTTTCTCCCTGAACTCATGTATAAACATGAAGTAAGAGGTGATTTGGTAGGATTTACAAATTTCACTCTAGCATGGGCTCCTCCAAATACTACAACACAACCATGCAGGTTAGTGAATTTTGTTATATTTATCTAAACTAAAAAGCATATTTTTTTCTACAAAACATGAAATCCACGCATGTTTAAAACAGCCGAATTTGATTGAATATAAAAGTAAATAATTCATAAATCGTGTTTTCTCACTAAATTAATTTCTAATATATTCTGTCTACTACGCGCTAATATTTGATAGCTACATAGTCGGTAGCCGATTTGAAGCTAAATGCAATAACTGAAAGAATCTAGTCAAAATAAAATTTGTCTGATAAGATGGAAGCAATTATTAGATTATCAACAATTTGCTTCATTTCCTTTGGTACCTTTCACAGATGCGATACTGTGGAATACATAAATTAAAACCACATTTTTAATGGTATACATAATTGTAGTATTCTAAATATGCTGCTAAATAACATAAACAGTTTAAAAAAACACTTCCAGTTTTGTTGGATTTTGAAAGGCAAAGTAGACCTGATGCTTGTACTGTCCAGAACTCATCTGCGAAAGTTACATAATGTGAAGTTTGTTCTACAACCATTGCAGATGTTCTATAATATATCTGAAATCAATGATAATTTTTGATGTTTTGATGAAACATTAATAACGCTTAAAATGATTGCTAAAATCATCTGATAGCTGGAATAAATAGTCGATGGGGATGTTAGATCCCAAGAACTCGCTTGATAAATATCTTTACTTTGGATTAATTTCATGGACCGATCAGTTGACCTTGAGATCACATTTCCCACCAGAAAAATCCTTGGCTGTGAATGGTTACTGTGTTATTTTAGTGTGCTATTTTGTGACTCTCCCAAGGACGTCTCTATGGCGTATAAATAAACGCGATTTGTGTGCTGGCTGGGTTATTTATAGAATACACTTCCTACGCTATATTAAGACTTCTTGCTAGTACATTTGGGTCAGGGGATCAAGTAGCCTACCTGGACGCTGGTTCATTGTTTTATTCTCGTTATTCGACTAAGGTGAACCCGTAATAGTTTTAAGCTTACCTAGAGACGAGTGCAACAATTGTACTCATTATTTTTGTAATTATCGCGCTTAGATTGTTGTTAGAGGCTGGTAAAACTCCTTACTTTCAAAAATGACTCATATTCTTCAAGCTGATATTAGGACCACAAAACTGCCGATTTCTAACTTCTGTTTTAGCTCCCACTTATGTAGTGCAGTAAAATCAGAGATGATGAGAAACTACAGTTAAATAAGGCAGCTTCTAATTGATAAATCGATATTAAATTTAATGAAACTCATGCCATTATATTTTGTCACTTAATATTGGAAGAAATCCAAAATATTTCAATCACCATTGACATTTCCTCATTTGTCCGCGTACAACGCTTCGATGCTGAAAACCATATCAAACTTTTGAGCTACGTTAAGCAGCCGGAATCTACAGAAAATCCACTCTTGGACTGAGAAATTCCTTTATTTAAAGTTCTTCCTAAAAATGATGTTAAGTAAATCACGTTTAAAAAAATTAACAGTGACCCATCTTCTCATATAGCAACCTTTGTGTATTTGAAATCATTTATCACGCTTACTATACAACAAGCCTGATTATTGATGATGTAAACCACGCTATTTTACAGTTTAACATATACTTGTCAATACGATGAAACTATAAACATTAGTGAATTAAACGTGTCAAGAAGTATTTTTAATGAAAATATGACTTTATTTCACTTCAGTAGTTCATCTGTGCAAAACTAAATTAAAATCTTACAAATTAATGAAATAATTATTTCGAAATCAGCCAACATCCAGGGTAATCTGATATTATGTTCAAGTATGTCGTGTCGTTCTGTTATTACAATTTTTTACCAAGACGATGAGTTAAATATGTACATATCTACATCACCTGTTTGACTTTCGATATTTAAGAAATACTTTGTTAATTGTTTGCTTTTCATGATTATTATCATGAAGAAATAAATTGAACTGTATTAATCCATCATTAATACATTTTGATCTTAAATTCGTATATGTCTTCGACCCACTGTGAGAAATAAATGCTTTTTTCAGAAAAGCGGTTTAATTTTTTATCAGAATAGTGCCTGACGGTTTATAAATCAGAAGGTGAATACGAAGTGTTGAATACGTTTATTTGGCACACCACAAATAGATCACAAACCGTAGGCACACGGATCGAAGGGCAAACATGTTAGCGAGTGAGCGAATTGGCGAATGAATGAATAAGAATAAAATGTACACATATATACATAGAAAAATGGCTGAGTCATCAAAATATTTAACATTAAAGTGAGTAGGATGAATATTCGTGTATGCGTAAGCAATGTTCAGTCGTACTAGCTCATACGAAACATGCAATAGTAAAAGTCAATGGTATATATAAGTTTTTGCTTTACAAAGGCTTGGCTAAATAAGTCAATCGAAACGCTTAACCAAATTAACGATGAGCGAACTCAAATATATGTGGAGACACTGCATATGTATGCGGTGAAATGAACAACTAATATTAGGAATACCTTAATATGTGCTTATAATGGCTGCGTTGTTTATACTTTAACAGTACCAATCGGAACGATAATCATTGAAAGTTAAAACAAATAAACAACCAGCTTAGATATTCTGAAACAATACAAATACAAAACAAAAACTGCTTGTCTCTTCGATCTATACGGAGATCTAATGAAAATAATTAAAGAAATCACAAAAATCAAGGAATTTAGGTTGAATGAGTTGTTTTATTATATTAGGAATGTCAAAAGATCAATAAAATAAGCACTTTGAACTGAAATTCTATATAATTATTGCCTACGGTCTGCGTCATGACAGAAAATATCCCTTGAAATGTAAAATACATACGTTTGGTTAGTATTACAAAATGAAAGCATTGATCACAAACATTTTTACTTAGTAATGTATTGTCAGGAATAAAGGAAAGTATTTAGTTTTTAAAAAGCAAAACCACATTCTTAGGGTTATTTAAGATCATTCTGATATCATACTTCATATAAGTCATATTTTATCATAAAATCTACCTGCGAAATTTGCTATTGAGGGTTTTTTAGTCCTAATATGGATGAGAAATAGTTGAAGCAAGAACAATATATTGATTGGTGAATGTTGACGTTTTTACAAATCCTGAATCGGTTTTGTGGTACCTACTGGAAAAATTAACATGAGTTCGAGCGCATAACTCCTTTCTTCGTTATATACCTTGCATTTGTAGAAATTGTTTCCCTTTCCAACTTATTACACTTATTGGTAAACAGCTAATACCTTCAATTCGGCCTTCACTAAATCACATAACTTTTGGTCCACAAAATACTTCTTCATTTAATTACAAAACTATTTGCACATATTCTGATAAATGTTTTATTAGGATACACGAAGGACAATCACGTATAAACTGATGTTTTTCTATGGTAAAAAATTAGTTTACTAATACTCTTACTCTTGTCTCATAAATTTCTTTTAGGAATACTATTCAAGATAGTAAACCATAATGCACAATGCTTTTATAAGTAGGATCTATTTTTCATTAAAAGAAAGATACCAGATATATATATATATATATATATATATATATATATATATATATTTCCATACTTTACAGATATAAAGCTTTTCGAGATGATAATGGTGAATTTTCAATGTTTTATTGGAGACTTTTGGCCCTTCGTCTGGCATTCGTAATTGTTTTCGAGGTAACCTAATGAATATGTGTATACAAACAATTAACATGTTGTATTGTCTAATTCAATCAGACAAAAAATTTATAATAAAATATTGTAACGTGATAAATAGATTTTTGTTAGCAGTTTATTGAAATTAGTCTATTCACAGGTGTAATGGGTAAGATAACTTTGTTTTCGTGTAATATGAATAGGATATTGAACTCGAACGAGTCATCATAATTTTTATCGCCTACCAGCTATAATATAAATATGGTTACTCTATTCAATTCCTGTAAATAAAACTTTAAATTTCCCGTCAAGAGAACATAACAAAATGTTTGACTTCACATACAATTCGTCCAGTGAATAAAATTATGGGAAATTTCCATATTTATTTTTAATCATGACTGAAGAGTTATTTTTCACACAACTTATCCTATTGCAAAATTGTCTAAGTAAGTGAAACAGACTTTTGAATATACCGCATAAATAGTTACTGTTTTGATTCAGTTATTTATTTGAACTTAGTGCAAACAATAATCAGAATAATCATATACAAAACTACAAATACTTCTGTCTAACAGTAGTAAGTGACTCTGCTTACACATATTTCACATCTAAATCCTTTCTTATGTGTAATGAATACTTGACAGAGATAACAAGTCTTATCATTGATGACATATTTCGTTTTCTAGCATGTAGCATTCGGTTTGGCAAATGTTCTAGACTTTTTCATCCCAGATGTGCCAAGCAGCTTGAAAGAACGCATTCAACGAGAACGTTTTCTGGCCAAACAAGCACTTCTGGATATTAGTTTGGTAAATTCACCTATTTATTTTATTTATTATTGCTATATCGCAAATGTTGGTGTTGAGGGAATAAGTCTTTACTGTTTCATTGTGATCACTCTCATTTACGTCAGAGCCTGCAGTTTTATCCTATTTTGTTATTCGAGCATTAAGTCTTCAATTAATTCATAATTCATCACTAATTGTAGGATTTAGCTGTATAATAGATTCACTGTAAATACCAACTAAAAGGGTTTTTTTGTATGTATTGAATGAACTAGTACTTCCGTTTGGTATTCCTTTTATCAATCCAGAAATAACTATTATGGGCCTATTTAGCAAGTGTACCACTTAAAAATTCAAACAAACCATTTGTCATAGTTTGTCAAAATTCTTAGCATTATGCCATTTTGTTTTACAACATAAGTAATGCTCATCATTTATGGTTCATTCGCTAGTAGTTTAGTGATCGATTTACACTTGAGCATTTAGATACTTTTCTTCAACATTTTAGAGTAGTGGTTCACACTGGGTAAGTTTAAATCCAAACTAACACCACTGATACTTATAATATATGTTGACGTAATAGATAATTTAGTGCTCTGTGATGTCCATGTCATAGAAGAACTAACGTTTTCAGCTCTGTACATCTAGAAATAATTCCAACAGATAAACAAATGTACTTAAAACAAGCACCTAATCTAAATTTTATTCAGCTTCACCATCTACCGATCCATACAAATAAACCATAATCCCCAAGCCTTATGATTGCCAGTTGGATTAAAAGCAATGACCAATGTGTCGTTTGGGACAAAAATCTTCTGAGTTAAAATTATGTGTATGAAGAACTCATACTCTATAACTATTAACCTGTTTATTCTGAGGTCAAAATACACAGACTCACCAAACTAGAGACTTCATGATAATCAAATCCAGACAAAAAGTTTCGATAATGTTTGGAGTGTGAGTGATCGAAACATCTATTATTCTTTCAACATGAACTAGAAGTTTTGCAAACACTGGAAGTTCGCAAAATGAATAGATCTAAATTTCAATAGTCTATGGGTGTTGCCTCAGCTTATCAAAACTTGACTTCGCTCAAAATTGAATAATTATTATCTAAACACATGTTGAGACTTCTTTCCTGGTTTGCAGGTTTTCTTATTTTGTTCAGTGAACGTTTTTGGTGACTGCATTAGGTCCGAAGTAGGGTTCACCACTTCTTTAGAGGTCGCGATCTGACTCCGATATTTACGAATGATCGAGTATGCGATGAAATGAATCTTCCATTCGAATTCCGTTAATTAGGCGAACACTGTTTGTGCAACGGTGATATTAAGAGATTAATACGGTTTAGAGGATGAGTTTATTTCAAGCATTAGTGCATGTAGACAGATACGAAAATGAAAAGCGTACAAAAAAGCGAAGCGAAATGGAAAAGGCGTGTGCGCCAACTCAATGTAACGCGGTATGACTAAGCATTTACAGTTGGACGAAAATAAGCAAGACATGTGACACACGAAGTAAGCGTGTATGCACATGTTCGAATAAAGCCGACCTAGACATATGTGAATGATCAACTAGATCAAAAGAAGTGTAAATGATAATTTAGAAAGTGTCAAGTGATTAAATTGTCCATCGGTCGGAACAAACCTTGTGAACTTGACATAATAGTGCACACATGACACCTTATCGAACTTTATAGAAATCTGGAATTTTGTTCGTTTATTTATTGAACTCAGAGAATGTTTTTCAATGTTATGTTTTCAACCATTTTTTTATTGACATAAACATTTCGTTGTTTCTTAATTACATTTACTAGCTGTCAAGTAAGTGATCGTTCATTATTTTGCAAAACAGGGATACATGATAATAGAAAGTAGAAAAATGAACTGTATAAATTATGTATAGTTAGTGAAATTCGATATCTATTCACAGAAACTAATTTTATGTCAACCAAAACCGTATTATACAATCATTTTGCTATATGCGTTCCGCTCAGTAATGTTTGTCAATAAACAAGCAACCTTAACCTTAATGAATCTAAACTGCCAGTAGAGAAGGACGTTCAAGACTAAGCTTTTGTCAGTCATTTGTTCTGATATAGTCATTCAGATGACAGCTCAAAACAATATACATGCAAAATTTTATTGTTACGGTATTTTTCGAGGCAATTTAAGCTGAATATCAACTCAAATTGTTACAGAAGAAGTATTGAAAAAATTCCTTTAAAAATAGTTGAAAAACTTCGCAAAGTATTTACATATACAGCTTAATTTACATCTAATGATTCGTTGACGTTAGAATCATAAGTCGCCTGTTATGTATCTGTTTTCTAAAAAGTACCAATCAAATATTTATTCAACAAAATGAATTCTGAATAAGTAAATGCATGATTTTGACTGAACTGTTATTTACCGACAATGAGAACGATTAGCTGGATCAAGTCAATGTAGGTTTTACGCTAATTTATCAGTCGAAGTTAGGGATTCGGAAATTATTATGAAAAATACTATATCATTTATTTACTTTTGTTATGTTGTAGGAATCAAGACAAACGGAAACGCAAAAACATATTAGTGAATGATGAATTAATGAATAAACACATGACTCATTTGCCTTCCCACGCAAGAATCCACATCAAATATTTTCAATTTTTGTCGTCAGAATGTCTTGGTTTAGTCATCTTTCTTACCTTTGAAAAGTCTGCACAAAAGTATAATTTCGTCTAAAACAAATTCCATCAAATACTTATTTTCTGGTGAAGATGCAAAGAGAAACTTTATAGATTGTAAATTTGTGTATATTGCATACTTTTGAGTTTAAAGCAATATTCATCTACTATTTGTAAATTTAATTACACTACAGTTTTTTCTCTGATGATAACATGTTAATCAACTACTTTACCGCTGATGGGAAAGCTACCAATCATTGGAATAATATAACTCTTTATTACTTCTTTGTAAATTAGATTATTTCAGTTATCATGCAATACTGTTTAGCAAAGTGGATTATCAACGCTAGAATAATGTTCAGAAGTAAGCAGCACTCCATAAATAAACAAATGATTATTTAAGCCCCATCAATGTCTGGTGCATTCAGCAAACAACTGTACTATAAAGTTTCAGTACAAAACATACTATCATTAAGCTTCCATGACATAGCGTCGAAAAGACGTTAATTTTCTGAAAACAGGATGTTTCAATTCACTAATGGAATCTGTCAGTAATAAATTCAAGAGAGAAACAACACAGGCGGTTACAATTTTTCGAATGCCTTAATTAAACAGTGTAATTGGAATTTTAAACACCTGATACATACTTTTTCGATGGCTTTTTGTAGTTCGTCAACTTCAGTTTAAATTCTGATTGCAAAGTTTTTGAGTTTGTGAAATTAACACAATTATACAGAAATATTTTAGTATTTAGCCTGCATTTTATGTGTAGAAAATCTGAAGTGGAAGTTTGAGGAAAGCTACACCTGCCGACAAACCGTTATTAGCTTTGTATTAAAGGAAGCTTAAGGATAAAAGGGAAGAAATCAAACTAGGCAGTTCCACATTCAGTTAAAAATCAAATTGCTCAATATCTAGCAGTATTTATTCTTATGCAACATTATATACAATGATGTAGAAAAAGGCATACATCGTTAATAGCGAAAGAGAATATCTTTAACGATTTCGGATTCAAAATGAATGTAAAATGAACAAAAATTAAAAAAAATAAGGAATGATACATTTTACAGTGCATTTAACTAATGTATTAAACAGAAAACAATTAGTTATTAAATGTTTCGAATATGAAATGTTTGGTTCTCAATGAAATTATAAGTCGAAATTAATGTGATCGAAACTTAAGTCTCATAATTTACTTGGTAAATATCAAATCATCGAAAAATAATCACATTGTAAAACAAAACATTATAAAATTAATTTACGGTTATTAAGCATGATTACAAAGCAGCTAAGGTAATTAGAGAATAATGCGTTTGTTCTTAAGCATCTGGATAAACGATTTCCGAGCTATTTGAGCTAGATTTCTGGACTCATCATCCCCATATTGCTTTACTAAATTTGCTAGTGGACCATTGCCGCTTATTTGTATTCTCCCAGTAGTTGGCAGGCAATCACCATCCGTTCTGTAGTCCTGTTTATCAGTCTCAGCTACATCGGGATTAAGAAGCACATGTGGATGACCGAATTCTATCACTTCACCACTCTCCATAACCACCACCATTTCATTATCCATCACAGTATGCAGTCTGTGTGCAACGGTCAAAACTGTAAAGTCTTTAAAAGTGCTCCTAAGTGTTTTCTGAATAATAACATCAGTACTGAAATGGACAAATTTGAAATAGAAAATAACGTCATCGTCACATAAAATAATTAAGATCGACAATATGACTTTAAATTACATTGAATTTACCTGGGATCAACATTCGATGTTGCTTCATCTACCACCAAGATGCGGCTTTCACTTAGAATCACTCGAGCTAATGCGAACAGTTGTCGCTGTCCAGTACTTAAGTTGTAGCCGCCCTCACTGACTAACGAATCTAACCCGTTACCGAGGTTTATAATTGTCTGGTCCAATTGTACCTACAGGTAATAAAATATAATAACAGGTATTGAGAAACATTATAAAAACCTGAAATCTGATGAAGCATAATGCATATTTTATATAGAGTAAATAAATTTTGGCTAGCAGTGGAATCCACGACGTCCATATACCAGCCAAGACTGATCAAATTTCAGTCAAAATATCGACAGGATAATGCGAACCATTTGAAATAGAATGATAAAATTTACCGTTCAACAATCTATGCACCATGATAATACATCATAACTTTCATGGAAAAACATATTTTCATCACGAATATCTCAATTGACTATTTGTTGAGAATCAGAGTAAACAATCAAAACGATTAGCTTCACAAATGAACATTAGAATGACTTTTATGCAATTGAAACCATCAATCAATCATTGTTAGACCACGATTAGAAACCTGGAAGCACTAGACGGCCGTTTCGTCCTGATATGGGACTCGTCAGCAGTGCGCATCTACGACTTCTGCAGCCTGCCGCATTCGTACCCGGGACCTTCGGTCTTGAGACCTCACCTATTTATCTTCGGTAGTCACTGCCTACACCCGACAGGGTTGAACTCCACTGATCATGTCTCTTTACTAAAACTCCGAGAATTACCTCACGAAGCTAGTCACTAGTAAGCACATTTTATGATTTTTCAATTTGAGTTAAGGAGATTATTGTTTCCACACATTTGAATGATTACCTGACAACGTAGATGCTAACAAAATAGACACTGTAAACTTCATATCATTACTGATAAGTAAACAAAAGTGAGAAAATTGTTTCTGACGCAAGAAAATCAAGGTAATAAAAGAGTAAAATGAGTTTGAGATCATATATCTAAAGTGACAGAGAAAACAAACAAAATTAAGTTCTCTAATGCCAATAGTTGGTATTGAGAAATTTCCGAAGAGCGTTAATCCATAACTGAGAAGTTCAATGCTTCTGGTGGAATATTCGTTACTATTTTAGAATTGTAAAAACTGAAATTTCACGGTGAACTTTCAGAATTGCTCGAATCAAATTACTTATCTATACGTCCAGACGTTCGATCGTCAAACGACCTTACCCATCATTTTGATCAATAATGACTTTTCAGACAATATCAACTGTGACCACTTAAGATTTTCGGGAACACTAATATGGAAATAATGTACAAAAAAATAAGTACCTCTTCATAAATTTATTTCATTCAAACTTACACTCTTCAAAGCTTTCCAAATCGCTTCATCTGTTTTCTCACCTAATGGATCCATGTTCATTCGAACTGTCCCGGTGAACATTATTGGATCCTGAGTTGTTAAAACATTAGTTAGTAAATCGTCCATGTTTGTTTATCGGTAGAGTAGAAATAAATTTTAAATAGTGTGGAAATCAAGCTGCAGGTCGACAGAACAAGCTGGAAGTAATACGTGGATGAACACGAATACTTCACCTCTACCTGAACTTTGTGTTGATGATGCTGTTCAGAAGAACAATGAAAGCTCCACGACCGAACCTTGTAGCTCAGAGAACGAAACTCCATCATAGCTGAGCAAATCCTCATTGTACTCTAGCAACATTGAATAACCACTTAGACTCATCGGAACAATACTCACTATCACATTGTTAATACAGACATTTCGATACTTAAACAGTTATTTCAGAAGTGGAAATGTTGTTGTTGGAATCACTGGAAAATGAAGAATCTACTTTATTCAATTACTAGCAGGCTTCTATCATCTCTTTATGATAAGTAGATATGTAATTCTGCCCCGAAAACCTGATGTTATGATATCAGCTAGTAGAATTAGGAAACTTCTAAAGGAACAATGGACATTTTAAACAAACAATGAAAATCAACAAGAGCAATAAATTAGAGTTGTAGGCTTAATAAACTTGAATTCGACGTCAACAAACAGACTATCCTTTAGCTGAATAAATTCTTCAAAACAGAACCACCTATGTACGTTCGTACCAAACTAGTTTGTTTTTGTTTACTTAACATAACTCTGAACGTCAATTAGGTTGGATTTAATCATGCTCTTAAGGTTTTATTTGTTCGTAAAATAACTGATAAGCATTTGCTTTATTGAATATGAGCATTCTCTTGTAAGTAGTTTATAAGATCCAGGCATCTACCTACAAGAAAACTAGATGATAGTAACAGCAAACCCATTGACAGAAAAATATAAAATAGCGAATACTCGAATACCTTTTACTTAATATAATATTCAAGTTCTAATCTACTTCACTTGAACTGACAGATTTCTATGTTCACGTTCTGAATTGTAATAACCATCATAACACATCCTGTAGTTATTGATATAGTGATTAAAAAACGAACCCATGTCATTGTGTTCGCTTCGGTTGTATCTTGATAGTTATAAGTCCAAACAGTATTTTGTGCACATAGTCTTTTAATCATTGCCTTGTTGGATGTCATTTCTAACTTCAGAGATATTACCCAACCAATCTTTCATATTTATGACAGCTCTTGTTGACATATGATTTTTTTCTTTTTCCACAAGTCATAACTTTCCATATGGATAGTAGAAAGTCAATTACACAAGATATTCAGTTCGAAAGTAACTTATGCTCCATTCGTCAGAGTTCAATTCAATTACTCATAAACATAATGATAACTAGTGTAATCAAAAGTTGTAATCTCAAAATTTCAATGTAATGGAACATAAAACATGGTAGCATATTAATTTTTTGATTGGAAATTTATCTCATCATAATATTCTCTTACTTGAGAAATTATTGCTATTCTTTTTCTCAAAAACTCCAGTTGTAGATGTTTGATATTCACATCATCTATTAGTATACACCCTTTCTCACCTTCCACTAGTCGAAACAGGGCAGAAATCAAGGAACTTTTTCCAGCCCCAGTTCGTCCAACTATACCTACCTAAAAAAAATTATTTCCATATTGATGACATGCTCTACAAATAAATTTTAATGAACGTTTGCCACCTTTCTTTATCTGACTTTATATTTGCTCACGGTCACTCTAAGATAGACGTTCTATGCTGTAAAGCCATCTAAGATTATAAACCGTCAGTCTAAGTATCTTTTTGAGATCCACAAACCATGTTCCACACGTATAGTAATACAGAGAATTCTTTGCAGCAAACCAACAGTCTACAAGTATCGGACAAGTCAAATAAATTACGTTAGACAGTTTCAATCTGATAAAGTAATGTCACTTCAATAATGTAAAGTAATCATACGTCTTGTATCAAGAACTACTGGTTGAAATTCAAAATATTGGTTGAACTCTTCACAGTGAGGGAGTCATCTCAGATATTGTACAGGATCTATATCATTAAAATAATAGGGTAAAAACGACTATATTCGATAACTCCAAGTGATGTATAAATTTCAGAAGACAAAGTGTTGACTAAAGTTCTTTGCCGTTTGGCTCAGATCATATACACACAAAGGGTGAATAAAAACAGAAATACGAATGCATACGAAGAATGAAAGGATAAGAATAAGAAGTACAAATACAAAGAAAGGTGGACGAGTCTGCAAGAGGGTTATGACGTTTCAAGATGAAAGCCGAGTTCCTTCGGAAGTCATGAGTTCGATGCCCTTTCTAACAACCAAAGTGCTTCCTCAGTGGGGGGCAGTTGGGAAGTAACATCCGCCCTTATATTTGTGAAAGCACACGATTCCAAATCGGTCACAATCAAATCACTTCTACGCCTCTTAATAACTCTCTTTTCTCCACAACCAACTCTTCTTCGTTACTTTGTCAGCTCACGAAACGTTATTCCTGGTCTCCTGAAACCCCAATCTAAACTATATATGGGAACTTTTAATGTTCGAATCCTGTGTTAAATAGGTAAACAGGCTTCATTAACTAAGACTCTGGGATCCCGTGCCATCAATGTCGGCTGCGTCTCCGAACTGATGGATGCTCCAAAACGCTCAAGAGAGGAGTCCGATTAGGCGCAGGCTGATAAAAAGCCTACGCAATGATTGCGAACAGTAGTGGTAGAGAAAGTAAGAGCGATGGAAAAGGCAGCGGCGATAGACAGCAATAGACAAATGTTCCGCCTTATCAAGGAAACCGGTATCAGGAACCCGAAAGTAAGTGAGACTATTTCGGAAAAGGATGGGCTATTATTCATTCTCTATCCAAGAGATTATATTATATTATTATATATATTATTAAGGATCGATTCAACTGGCCTTCAGCCACACTTCGGTTTGCCTGATCTCCAGTCATCCTGAGTGGCAAATCGATATAAGTCGTCCTACTACTTATGAAGTTCAGAAAACTATAGGAAATCTGAAGCGAGAGCGAGCAGCAGAAAGGATAGAATTTTCCTAATGACACTCACACTGGAATCGCCATAACTAATATAGTTTCTAAATTGTTAACCTTGATTATACCTAGACTCCTGACTAGAGCTCATGAAAAGCAGAAAAGATAAAACCAGGCTGCTTTGAGACCTGGACGTGGATTTACTGACCACATTTTGACACTACGACAGGTCCTGGAACACAGACGGACATATAGGAGATTGACCTCAAGGCGGCATTTGACTCTGTTGACTGTGAGGTTCTGTGGCAGAGTCTGTCGTTGAAACATATACTAAGGAAGTACATTAACCTTAGTTAGAGCTTATAGAGAACCGTTATCGGAAATGAATACTTCGAATGATATTCGTCAGGAGTGTCCACTTCCTCCATTCTTGTTCAGCTTTGTTATAGACATGCTTTCAGAGTTAACATCATCTTCGTCTGAATTTTCGGGAGTGAAGCTTCTACCAGGAGACGTGCTGGTAAACTGAGAATATGCCGACAACACAGTTCTAATTAGTGAAGACGCTGACAAAATTCAGTGTATCCTGACTACCGTAAGCAACAATGCAAGTATGTTCGGGATGCGGTTCTCACCCTCGGAATGCAAAATGTTGCTTCTAAATTGGGTTTCATCGTCACCCGGACTAGTGATAAGGAGTGAAGAACTTGAGCGTATTGACCGCTTCACTTATCTAGGAGTCACATCAGTGCTGATAGACTGGTGAATGACGATATCTAGGCACAGATACAGAAGGCTCGATTGGCTTCTGCCAACTTGCGTCATTTATGGCGTAGGCAAGATATCCGTTTGCTAACCGAAGGACGAGTGTAATGCGCAGCAGGAAACGGGTATTAAGTTAAGATGGCAGATCAATAGATAAAGTGTTCAAAACTTCATCACTTGAGTTGGTTGGGACATGTGTTACGAATGCCCAACCACCAACTGCCTCGATAAGCAATGTTTTGTGGTGTAGGAGTAGGTTGGAAGAAAGTTAGGGGTGGCCAGACTAAATCATTGTGGAAATCCATGAAGTCACTGGCAAGTGTAATGAATCATGTTAACAGATGTAGACTACGGAGTTGGGGTCCGCGAAACGATAGTAATCGATGGTTAGGGATTTTGAAAGACAAGGCTCACAACCGTTTGCAATGGCGCAGGTGGGTCCACTGTTTGTGCTCTCTCTTGTCCTAACCTTCTATATTTTTCATAACCGTTTTCATCTTTTTTTTAATTGATTCGTCGTAGGTTTACATGTCGAATGATATGTATTCCATCATTAATCTTTTTGATTAATTTTACTACCTCTGAGGGATTTGAAGTGAAAATGGCGTCCTTGTGGTAATGTGGTAATAGCAACTTGAACTGATGCACGTACCTACGCAGTTCTGCGTTGTAAGTGACTGAGTTAATTTTAAGACTTTTAGAAATATAGTTTTCAAGTTGTCCTTTATTACTATTGCGAATACTTGACCGCAATTTACACATTACTTTGATGGGGTGACATAATAAATTCCACAGTCGCTAAACTCAGTATTGCAGTTAGAAATTTAGTAAAACATGTTAACTACACAAACTATCTTCAGGAAGTTATTAAGATGTCAAAAAATAATGCCCATAACGAAACTAAATGTGAGGTAATTCTTTCGTGAGATTAGAATACCTGAAAATTTCTTACCTTACATCCAGGTCTGATATCCAAATTTATATTTTTCAACGCCCATGTATCGGATAAAGCATAACGCATCCCAAATTCTTTAAATTGAATATGCCCTTGTGATGGCCAGTATGAATCTGGTGAATATATGTCTTGTGTATCTGTTGTTTCCGGTTGCAGTTTTACATACTCAATAGCACGTTCTACAGATACCATCTGATAAGGTTAAAATGAAAATGATACGATTAAAATATAAGTACGTGGATGTATCTTAGAGTGAAATTCTGTTGTGGAAGAAAACCATTCGAAATGTAACTAAATAACAACACATCAAGAAATGCGAATATTATCACATTCAACATTATTTTTTGACTTTAATCTACTATGATATGCAAAATTAGCATCTGATCATATTTTTATAACAATTCAGAAAATCACATTCACCTTTTCATGAATCAATCAGAAATTTTATGATGGCATCGACACGTTTTACAGTGGAAACCAAGTGCAGTTAAGAAACGGTCAAAGCAAATATTATCATCTCCAAAACAGATACTAATTATTAAAGAAGAATCTATTCCTTCAAAAAAATCGGATCACTACACGACATGTTTATTGAAATCTACGTGAAGGTTTAGAAGAAAAGTACCATCGTTTAAACTAAATGAAATTCGGTATTAACGAATCATCAGTCATTTTAAGTCACAAAGTAATACAAGGAAAATTATAAAATGCAAAATTTTTGATCGATATGATCAGTACAGCCATCTATATATTATACACTAATTGCACAAACGGGTATAAGTTCCAATATAAGTCATTCGGAAGACATGTTATTTCAGTAAGTTTACATTTACTAACAGTGATTAAAAGTATGATTATTATTATTAACTATTTTTTTAGCTGTGCAGTTCGTTGGCTTACCTGATTTTCAACTTCAGTACTCAGTCGTATACACCACTGGAACAATCCTATCAAACTACTGGAATAAGTGAACATCAAACCTACATTAGCTCCCGGTATTTCTGTGATACAAGAAAATAATTCAAATATTACTACCAGTTCGTTTGGAAATGACAAACTTAAAAATTTACTTTGTACATTTAAACTGAAAGTTGGAATAACTGCAGTAGAAGTTTCCTATCACAACCAGTATGTTACTTCATCACTAGTATAATACAGGCATTATTTCATTAATCACATTCATATTCATATTCTTGTTTTGAAAATCGATTCAGACAAACATGATGTGAAATCAAATATGGTACTTTCATTGTTAATCATGATTTACATCAAGGCATGTGTACTAAGAAGACAAAGTTGAATAAGAAAATTGAAATTACATTTTACTAGTGAAACATTTATAAATTTATGCGAACTGTAAATCAAACCACTGTAGTGAATCGACTTTGATGAAGAGAACGCGATTAGTGAAACGGAAACATTTATTATTGTAACCATTTGTACCAGTGATTGTTTTGCTGTACCCGTTTCTTTAATTCTACCCAAAATACACATCTCCCTTCCTTCCTTCCTTCCTTCCTTGACATTGGTCTTGCTCACGTATGTTTGGTAGTCTCGCTAATATATATATTTTTTTATATTATTTCGGTACCACGAGATCGCCAACGAATATACCTTAACTCCAATCACAACCGGTCTTCTGATTTTTGTCTCTGACGGGATTCAACGGGGTTATTGGCTTAATAAAGCTTCGATTCGCTTTACCACCATCAAGATTGATGTTGTTCATGAGAACTTCCATATCATGGAAGGACAATGCCAATACTTTAAAAAATGTGAACTAACATTAAACTAGAATAATATCATCCAAATTAATCTAGCCATAGTCATTTGGATAGTTATTCGGATTTGTGATGATAATGACTGCTGTCACAATGAGATGGCGTAGCCTGCTCATCAAACATTTGATCAGTTTTCAGCAACGATGCATGTCAGTTGAAAACATTCATTGAGTACCTTGTTTAATATGACATAATTTGCATAGTAACCCATATTCATACCACTAATAATTCTGTTAAAATAGGCAAAAATATCATACATTTACAGCGAATGTTAAAGATAAGCGAATCGGTTGATACAATTGATTAAAAGTATGATCGGGAAATATTCTATTCAACACGAGACAGTCAACAACTTATGTAAGCATCTCAACACAGCGTTTAGTGTTTTTTGTTAAGTTAGAGAAAACTCAACATTCAAACTTAGTATTAGAATTCAAAGTCAAAGGATATACTGAGTAATCTGAGAAAATTCATATAGAAGTAGAAGTACGAACGCTTTATATACATGTTTACGAAATTCTTACCTGAGTATGTTCCCAATACCACACATATAACTGAAACAGCAGTAGTAAATGTTAAACACAAAAGATCCAAACGTATAGCAAGCCAAAGTTGGGCAGCCAAATTAATATAGATAACATCCGTATGATGGTTAACTACATCATAAAATCTATTTAAATGGAAAGAATCATCTCCAGAGGCTCGTATACACGGTAGACCTTGTAAAGTGATGTTTACCCAAGAAAACACTGGACTACGATCTGAAAAACATGAAATGAAATGACATTAGAAACCATTGGATATTCATGTTATTTATTCGAAGTATACATTCATATGAGCTTGGTGGCAGTGGAGAGAATAAATCTTCCCATCGTCTTAGGGAGTGCCTGGAAGATATCCTGGAACCCGTAAGAGAAGGTATTTATATAAATTTATCAAATTCATAAAAGAAGTCAACGTAAATAAGAGACGTAACATATCTTTTGGTGTCGAATCACTGTTCATAAATGTCCCATTCACAGAGGCCATAAGTTTTATTTGCAGATACAGAAATTATGATGGCATTAATGTCGGACTACTGTTCAAAAGAATTACTATTACCATTTACTTTTAATGTCCGATTTATGTTTGGCGTGTTTTTTGATCTAAAGGATAGGACAAGAATGAGATCCACTCTTGGTCCATTGCAAGTAGTCCAGAACGTCTGTCTACAACTTCCGCTGTGTAAGAGGTACACGGACGATATTTTTGTCATTTGTGGCATGGAATGTAATTTGATTCTTCTAAAGACGCTTAATAACTGCCTTCTGGAGATAAACTTCACGCTTCAAGTTGAAGAAAAACAAAGTTCAATTCCTCTTTGTCGAAATGACAAAAAAACACGATGAAAGTCTAAAATCTGTCTGCTCTTGAAGAATAGCCACCTTTCAAGCTTTCGTAGCTGGGTCCTCATTAGCCAAAAGTGAAACTTAATTGTGTCATTGTCCACTCAGATACGAAGAGTTCGTATTCTTAAGGTCATGAATCACGAACTCTCTCAATAGACTTTTTTCAGCAACCTTGCATTTAGTGTTTTTCAGTTGAACAACAGTCAATGAAAATCCGATGGATAAACCATCTAATTTGAGAAATTCCATAGGCATTAATCAAATTACTTGTTCATGTGGAGTCAGGTATATGCTTATTTCATCCTAAATAATTCAGGAACACTAACCGGTATGCTTAAAAAGAGGGGGAGATGGCTGCATAATCTAAGACCTTGTGAACACAGGTCGTTCCATCAAAACATGATCCTCCTGATTATAGTTCAACTCGGTCTCAACATTTTATGTCATGACAATGAGTTCTTCCTTTCCAATTAGAATTCTCTGTCTGTCTACATGATGCATAATCAAGTTTTCAAAGGCAATTTAATTACCAGTTTCCTGAGTTAAAATAACTTTTCAATGCCTTTAATCATTTAATCTCATTGTTACCATGTTAGACAGAATATCTATCACTATCATTGTCATTATTATCATTTTGAAAAATAAGAATGTATTCGCGGTAACCGAGTATTGTACATGTAATCGCCGAAAGTAGATTTCTTCTCTTAATCAATCTTACTTACATAAGTGATTGATTTGTTCCAATCAGGTTTGAATCATTTTTATGTATAAGGACATACGGATTGAGAAATTGGTACAAATAACATCAATAACTTAGAAATTGCATAATCATGAAATTTTAATTAGGTTTTGTATAAAATTACATGATTGTCTTAAGTGTTTTCACCTAGCTAAATCCGACATGTAATAATAATAATAGCCGTAGTAATAATTCAAATAAAAGGAAATCTAAAATTTCGACGTTGTGTAACCAGTGAACTGGTTCAGAAATATTTTTAAAAAGAAGAAAAAGTCAACGATTTACACATACAGAGTGTATAGTTTAGCAGAAAGTCATAAATAAATGCAAAATTTGTACGTAATTTTCAATATTTATTGTGAAACAAAATAACTTCATTCTTACTCATTGCTTCAATTCTTCTCAAATTTCTGGATAAACACATATATCTTCCACGAATTATCCAGAAGAAAACTAAAAGAAACATAGCCGGAAAAAGTGCCCAATAACAAGAGATCACTGTAACACCACAAAATGTCACCACAAGGGATAAAAACTACAAAAAATACATGAAAATACATTTTGTTAGAAAATTGAACTCGTCTCCATTAAAATTACATTGAGCGACTGATTTTCAAAAAGATATGGCAGAGACACTGTGAAACACTCTGTATTTAGTCAAATATCATTTTAAATAAAGTGATGCATGATGAAATTAGTTTTCTTAATAAACCTAGGTGAATGCGTTAGGTCTTTCAAACGCACACAAGCATTATGAAACAGTAATTAAAATAATTTTAAAAAAATATGTGATGATGGTTATGATTTCCCATAACATATATGGAAGCATTTTTAAATTCATAGGGAAAAATATTAATGAAACTCTTGAGTGAATCAACCAATTTAACGTGTGATGAAAAAACAAACAAAAGAAGTATGAACATGAAGAAAACTGTAAAAAATCAGGTGGGTCATAAAATTCTTCAAAAGAGATTGAATTTATGCTTCAGTGAACAGATTTCCAAATATTAATGACACTGACATAATTTCGCCATATTTTGCATAACCAATAAACTTATAACGCGTAGTATCCCGTTTTCTAGGATGCATAATTTACGAGGTGATTTGTATATCATGATAACGCGATCAAATCATATGGCTTCCATGCCAGGAATATTCACTGAGTGATAAAGTCATACTACCAATTGTACAGTAGTATATAATGTTAGTAAAATTTCAGCTTCAATTAACAAACACCTCCAGTGATGTTGTCTTCCTACAGAGGAAGAAGTTCACAAAAGTCTTTCTTAAAAGTAGCTCATATCACATTGTCACACAGATTTATCATTCGATGTCAGACCTTCTAAGTACGGAAAATGGACTTCATAAACGACTCCAAGAAAGCTATACATAACCAGTCTCAATGAGTCGTTTTTGAGAAAGTGTGATAACGTTCCCAAGATCTTAAGCCAGTTTCTCAAGAAGTTTTCGCTTATTATTTAGGCAAGTGAGAAAGAACCGTATTCATGTCTGTAGCAGCACTTCAGAAAACTTGGTTCAAAATCAACCACCATACTCACTACTTAACATTTGGCCCATTTCCAATATCAACCAACATCCTTTTGTATTCTGCTTCTTTAACTCGTACCACCAGTGCTATTTCAGTAACAAGTTTCCTGAAATCACTTTTCAAACTACACGTTAAAGTCGTCTACAGCACACGAATCTGATCAAGAAAAAGACGCCAATGGTTAGGAAACCAGAATCTGCCGTCATCAGTGTATGCTGTGTTTCTGAATTCGAGTGTAGTCATTTACTTGATCTCAATTCGAGAATACGACTACTAGATGTTAATATATTTTAATTAATGATTTTGCGTAATGTGCCATAAAAAGTTTTTTTGCTAATTTTAGGATTCGTTTGTTCTCCTTCCTGACAAAGACAAATAATATTCATAACGTCTAAAAATGAAACCCTTCGGTATATACTGCTTAGCCTGGACACTTAACGAGCTCACTATCTGTTTTCTAAAACACAAATGATTTGGTTGGTTTGGTTTTAAAATGTGTCTGTTTTGAATGATATATGCCCATAATCATAACTGACTTCAATGGTTCAGTTGGAGAACGTTGAATGGCTAAACAAATGCATAAAAGCATCGCATATGATAAATAATTACAATTTTAAATCATTGATTTCATCATCTTACATGTAAAAACTCGAAAGTGTTCGTTGGCAACAGATCATCTATAATTCCAATGTCTTTCGAAAATCTGTTTAATATTCGTCCTTAATTTTTTAATCAAAAGATAAACAATGAAATAAATAGTATCCTCAAAAATTTGGAATAATGTTTGTTTCTTTTTAAACAAATTCAGTAAATTTAAAAGATAAATTAAAATGAACTTGATTTCAAACCTTCATGAAGTTTGAAGAAGAATATTTAAATTTTCATCTAACTATTCAAACAGGTAAGAGAGAGAATTATTTAATTTTTATGATCTGATCCAATCAGTCACTCGATACTTCACAGTGCTGTAACATTTTATCGAAGCGAAATGAGATCTGAAAAACCACAGGTAGTAAGTTTCAATATCATTAGAAAAGATTGAAATTCAAGATAGGATCCATTAAAATATGTATATTTGGAATAAGGAAAATTTAAAATGCAACTTGGAAGTCAGTCTGCCATTCAGTCAGTTACAACGTAGAACTTCGTATGTGAGTACATATGTTCAGCTTACCATATCACATCTGCACAGAAAAGCGACTGTCAAATAGAATCCCATCGTAGTAGAAGCAGTAAAAGTATTATCGGTGATGGAGAAGATAATGGTTTGAAGATATAATTTAAGAAGTATAATTCAGTGAGATAAATTTAAAAAGAAAAGAGGAATTCGGAAGATTAGAATTTCATAGAACACAACGAATGGATACACCTGCTCCATTGCAAATGATTATGAACCATGTAATTCAAGATCTCTAACCATCGGTTACTACCGTTTCACAGACCCCAACTCCGTAGTCTACATCTGTTAACATGACTCACTCCACTTATCGATGACTTTATGGATTTAGGCCATGTTTTAGTCTGGCCACCCCTAACTTTCTTCCAACCTACTCCTAGACCACAAAACATTGCTTATCGAGGCAGTTGGTGGTTGGGCATTCGTAACACATGTCCCAACCAACTCAAGTGATGAAGTTTTGAACACTTTATCTATTGATCTGCCATCTTAACTTAATACTCGTTTCCTAACGACAGCATTGCTTTCCTGATAGTCCCAAGATAAGAGCGATGCTTCGGAGAAACCTATGATCGAAAATCAGTAACCTACGAATATCTTCTACTCTGACTCTCCATGTTTCGTATACATATAGTAGGACTGAGTGAACTGCTGCGCAGTACACTCGTCCTTCGGTTAGCAAATGGATATCTCGCCTACACCACAAGTGATGCAAGCTGGTAAAAGCCAACCGAGTCCTCTCTATCTGTTCCTAGATATCGTCAGTCACCAGATCACCAGCACTGATGAGATTCCCGAGATACATGAAGCGGTCAACACGCTCAAGTTCTTCATTCCTTATCACTAGTCCAGGAGCGAATGCAACCGAAACCTGACACGAACTAACACAGACATCAAAATCTAACATTTTAAATACCAACTGGACCGATATTCTATGGAACGGTGTGATTGTAAGTGGCACATTCAATGAATCTCGGATAAAATATACATCTCAGTGAAAGGGATCGATTACACTAGAAAAAGAGACTAAACAACGCAAACTAAAAGCATGAAACAATAATCTACACTTTCATTTCATAAAGACCCCAAATTATGTCCGTCTCACACAAAATAAATAGCATTTGTTGTACGAGAAGTAAATGAAGAGTGGATGCCTCTGAAACCACGTCAGTCATACCATATACGGTATCTGAAAAACTCAAACTTCACTACTTAGATCCACATCTCATTTTTTTAATCCATAACTATTCTAAATACCGAAAATAACTACCCGTTATATATCGTGTAAAATAACTGAATAACAGCTATTCTTAATTTAGAAAAATTATTTTGGTAGTAAACCTCAGAGGGCTCGTGAAGCGAATAAAATTTTTTCGGTAAAAAATAAAACTCAAAAACATGTCAGGTATTATCACTCAAACAAAGCTGATCGGCTAATCGGTAGAATATGAAAAACAAATTTAGGTCTGGAAAAAGATTTACATACGTTTGATCAAATAATGCTATTCATACTGAATAAACATCATTTACAGATAAAATTCACTAACCTGATGAGTTCGATTCGAAAAACTGTAGTCTAGTTGACAGAAGGGCTTTGACCATTAATTCATGCAAACGTCTTGCAACACAAATCATTTGCTATCAGAATAAAAAACAAAAATGCACACGATCATTTAAAGTATTCACAATTCATCTAGTTGGAAGACTAATTACAGTAAAAACGTATGTTTGCGCATTAGATTGCAGACAGTCAACTGTAACTTTATCACATATAAATATTTACGCTAAAGTGAGCAAAAAAACAGACAGTAAATCAGTAGTAAGTGAGTTAGGTACTTATTTTTCTTAGTGTAAATTTGATGAAATATCTCAATCAAGAGATAACAATTAAATATCCCAATAATGTTCGGACTTTTCACACAAGCTGTTACTGCATCACATAACATTTGTATGAAGCAGTCAAAACAACAATCACTTGTGATGTACATTCAGTGTTATCCTAGTTGATGCTGCCATCTTTTTCACTACTAAGAATAAAATGAAATACAAAAAGTCTCATTATAGATTACAATCAGTCACCGAATATGCAGCATAGTTAGTATTCTCCTCGTAGATAAATTTCGCATTTATAACATTGGTATTTTAGACTTTTACACTTATCCAGCTGTGATGAATTATAGAGTAAATGTAACGATCATTAAGCTTTAATATTGCTGTCTCAAAGGTTATGAGACAATGTGTAGGTTTAATGATCACGAATTGTACAGTTTACACTGTAATTTCACACTATACAATGGAATATCAAATTGTACTAGAATCGACAAACTTAAACGTAACTTCCGTTACTTACTTTGAAAAATAGCAGCGTTCGTGTTGTACTCAAAAACACCAACAGTCCAGTGAGGATTACAATTATGTACATATTTACAAAGTTGTCATTCAAATTCCACGTTCCTATAAAACTTGATGAATTATTAACAAGTGAACTATTCAAATCGTTACGGTTATCCACGATACGAATCCTATTATACGATAAGTGAAAAATAAAATCATAAACATAATCATAGCATTTTAACAATAATTCATATCACTACTGATAAACTTACTGATAACAGAGAATAGGGAGATTGTAAAGATTACTGAACATTCGTGTATCAGTATCCCACATTGATCCTGGTTAAAGAACTATTGAAAATCAGGAAGCACTGAACAGCTGCACGAACCTCACAGGCTACAAGGGATCGAACAAAGCATCTAGAATCTCACAGCGAGCACATATCTTCCAGTGAATATTCAATCCGAAGCTAGTCTCAGTCATGTATCAGAGACAAATAGAGAACCAGTTTGAACAATGGAGTAGTAAACAGCCACATTGTCCTGGCCTAGGCTCTCCATAAAATACACAAACTACACCATAATTTGAGCATACGAGATCCAGAACAAAATCTCAAGAAAAAACGCAAATCGAAGTGGTCTCGGTAAAATACCCAAAGTAACACGTTCGACAGATATCACTCTCATAGTCTGCGATAGATAATTCAAGAGATAAACGAAGTAGTTATAACTGTACCTAAGAAGTAAAGTCGCACCCCATAATCTTATACGACTCTAATGCTATGGCCGCTGAATAAAAAGCAAAGCCAGACTCCAGTGAAACACACTTGCTAAAATCAAATATACAAAAAGACAAATGAAAAACTAAGTAGATTATATTAAATTTACCATCTTGCTATCCACAAATCGAATGCTGCATAAACAACAGTTGTAAGGACAAACAATAGAAGAATCAGTATCCAGCAGCAGAAACTACCAGATATTCGACCAAAAATTAAATAACATTCCCATCCAACTTTTCCATGTCTAAGATTTTCGACCGAAATGGTTTTGTCCCTCTTATGATGCTCTGAAATATCACCATTGTCAATTATTTTACGATTTGATTCTGCTTCACAGATAACACGATTTTCAAACACGCTTGAGTTGATTGTTTGTAGGGATTCGTAAGATCCAGTGGTAGTTATAGTCCTGACACTCTACAAAAAATATAATCCAAAAATGTGTCACAACTCATTCAAGATATTAACTACTTTACGAACCAATCTATATTTTCAGAAAATATGTATTTTAACGGAATTCACACTACCGAAATAGTTGGTTGGTTGCAATCATCAAACAATCATCTGTTAATAAGATCGAATGCTTAACGCATGTTGAGTGAGCATCGAAAAACAGAATAGTCGGATCTCAAAAAATTGGAATAAAACTGGATTTTATTTACAACAGACTCAGATTGTTACAGCTACGATGAATGACTGATGCAGAATGAAAATAACGATCACCGATCAACCAACAAAGCTAAACTTTGAACGTCATAATAAAATAACCAGTAGTTATAAACCCAATCGAAATCGCAACGGACAATGAGTAACAATGTAGTGCAAGTTTACTCAATAATTTTTATATCAATGAAAGATGTGTCTCATGCACGTAGTCCATTCCGCACGATCTGAGTTTAGTATTTTGACGGAAATGAGTGTCATTGCAATGACAACTAGAAAGCAAGTAACTACATCATAACAAGACGTTAAATAATCACAAATCGGTTTTGTTACGTATACAGAATTTAGGATCCAATTATACAAGAAATAGTATTCTCTTACTTTCTTCGAAGTAGGTAAAATCAGAGAAGCTTGAAGGGATTTTTCATTCTCGGGTGAATAATCTTCTACATAATGTTTATGAACCAAAGATAACGACGAAAGCATCATCCCATCTGCCAAATAATCTTCCAACAACCTTGGTGTCTGTAGAGCTGATTTATAGATGCTCTGCTTCTCAGATCTAAAACTTAGGAAAGTCTTTGATAATCGTCTGTCGAATGCACCGAATGTCATGCTACGTCTCCTTACATCAAAACCAACGTCGGACAGTTGGGATATTCGATCGTCAGTTGGATGATCAAAGAAATTGCAAATAAAGTCATCCATTCGCAACTTCATCGTTTGCAGTTCTGTATAAGTGCCAAAAAATGCAATTTCCCCCTGGAATGAAAAGTACCGAAATCTAGAACAAAGTTGCCCGAAAATAAACAATAAAACACGTGATCCACTGTTGTATTCAGACGTTCTGTGTATTCCTACTGAATATAAAATACATATTTCACCCATTGTTGGTAGGAATACAAGCACGAACTAAACTCTGTCCGGAGAATATCACTATTTTTGACTGAGTACACATCACATTATGACCAGGATAATGACAAGTCGAAAATGTTTATTTCAGTCACCACACTGCTTTTGAGGATCGACAAACTTCGGATAACGAATACCTTACTTTACAAGTAGTCCACATACTTTTCACTGAATGAGTAATATACTCAAATATGCATAAACAAGGAAATTAAATGACAATCAGTCAAATATTCTCCTGCAAGAAATAAAATGCAAAGATAATTTGTTCAAATACATTCAAACAGATCATGTTATTGTTTAACCGAACCCTTGCACGGTTGACCACTTGTACAAAACCGAATTGGCTACCGAAAATAAACAATTCACAATAATCTTTCTCCACATACTGTCTTCTTAAGTTATTCCTCAAAACAACAACCATAAAATGTTGAATTCATCATAATGAATCTTTCGCCTCTTCTAATTTACAAATTACAATGGTCTCATATGATTGTCGTTACAATGTTTGCTTACACTTCAATTCCCTCGAATAATATCCTGTGAACTAGAAACACCATAATTCTCCCCGAATACCGTTATGTGTAAAGGCATTCAGTTTCATGTAAACTAGTGAAATTGTTTTGGCAACTAAGAGACACTTTTAAACTAGGCGAGATAATTGTGCAATCCTACAACATTTACACATCTATCAACAAACAAACAAGCAAACTAGATTACTGGATTACCTCTTTTAGAACTAGGATTCTGTCCATACAAGGCAGAAGCTGGTGTTGATGAGTAACAAACAAACGAAGTCTATCTGACAAAAAGTCACAAATGCACTTCTGAAACAAGTGATTTGATACGCGAGCATCAACCGCTGCTAACGGGTCATCTAATAGTAGAATCTTCTGACGAGAATACGCTACTCGTGCCAAAGCTATGCGAGCTTTTTGACCACCACTTAAACCAGAACCTCGTTCTCCAACATATGTCCTGTCTCCGTCAGGAAACATGGCTAAATCCTAAATATAAATAGGCGAAGATACATTTTCATCAGAATGAAATAAATACCAAGAAGATGATATGAAAAACAATGTTTATACCGCTAACTATTGTTTGGTGTTCTGAGGTAGCTCAAATTCTTTTGCAATTTCAAATCCAAATTATATTATAAATATTCAATGTGAAGTGCTCGCTTCAACAACCGAGGTTTTTTCTATGCGATTCGAATAGCTGTGTCTCCAATTCTCAAACACTTTTATGGTATATACTAAATATCTATTGTGAACACAACTACTCCCTTACTGACTTTTGCTATAGTGAACGAAGACCAAACACCAAATGAGATAAGCTATTTGGTGAAGAATACACAATCTCCTAACCAAAAAGTGTACACATTATCATTAAAAATCCGTTTGCAAAACAAGCGTATTCCTGGCTGTCTTCTTTCACATGTCTTCCATTCCTCAAAACACCCCAGATCACCAAACTAAAAATATAAAAGCTGGATATTTTAGTGACACATGACTGGAGAGAGTTGATAGAGAAAGTATACAACATAGCAAAATGCCGAATCAGATCAAGACTTTACATACTCTATCAAAACGACAACACAAACAAACAAAACTAATGAAATTGAACAATCAACAACTAAATTAAAAATGACAAGATAGTTGAGACACATTTCTATCACACTGTATCTGTATCAACCAAACAGTAAAAAATCTCAAGAATTGGTCAAACCGAGATTAGCGATACCATTTATTCTATCAATATCCAGGATGTTCAATAACTTTCACTTACAGATCACTGTGACCTCTTGCCAAATGTTTGTATCTACATACGCGGTTCCGATGAACTTCATCTCCCTGTATTATCTAAAGTTATCATCCGCACTGATTCTCACATATCCAAGGAAAAGAAGATTTATCTGACTTCATTCATGGTTTGCTCATTATCAACAAA